GCACGTTCCCAAAGACTCAGGGGAAATCTTTCTTGCCTTCAAACCCCACACATCCCCGCTCACCCCACCCCCTCGCCGTGTCAGCCATCTCCACCCTCTGCCTCGGCGTCGTGCAGCAGGATGAGGAGGACGTAAATAAAACATGAGGCTGGCTGGACAGGAAGAAGAGTGTGTTAGGGGTGGTCGGTTGGTTTTTTTTTTTTTTCAGGCGTGTGTATCTGCGAGCTGACAATGAGACACGGGCAGCCTTACAAACACAAACATACACACACACACACCCACAGAAAAAAAAACGTTGCTGCATCACTGCCCGACCGCTCCACGCACAGCCAGTTACAAGGTTTGCTTCGTCAGAATGAATTTATATCCTGGATGTCCAGATCCAATTTTGCCTCAGCAACTCTCCTGATATCATATATCACCCTGGTAGCTGTCTCATCCATACTGATAGCTCTGTCCCTGTTTGCCGACACTGCATCAACACCTTCTATTTGATCATATTTTCAGCTAATTAATACTTTCTCTATGAAGCTAATCTATCACTACGGTAGAACTTCATCTGAAAAAACTATGTAATTTGCCTAAAACAAAGATAAAAGACAGAGCAGTCTTTCATGTTCAATTTCATCAAGCCATCACAAGTTTCATCATCCTACAAAGAAAACAGACCATTGCCCCATTCTAAGCTCTATACTGACCTCAGCTCAAACCTCAGCTCGTCTGTAGATGCATCATCCTCCCAATGCTCAGGAAAAATCAATGCTGTAAACGGCCTTGACGCATATGTAATGGCAATTCTTTTTTAACTTATAGAAAGGACTTGATTTAATATTGCGATTCGCCTTAGCATTTCCTTATGGTTGAGATGATCTTCAGAAATTCTCTCCATGTTGAATTGTTTCATAGAAATGTCTGCACAAATATGATAAATCCACCAGATCACTTTGAAATGATTAAGGATGTTTATCACAGAGCTTCATGGCAAAAGGCTCGTTGTGACTGCCCGCTTTAGCCTCATTGGATGGAACCCAGTGTTGCCGCAGATGCTTTTCAGCTGTGATGCAGCCCTCTTAACATTTGCAGGATTATCTGATCGCCATGGCAGCACTGCATGAAATTAACTTGACAAAGACAAAGGACACAATATGAATGCTTGAGCATGTAGTGGTCATCACAGTGTGGAAGAACACAGCCTGCCTCAAGGGTAAAGTGTTTTAAAAACAACAACAGTGTGTTACTGAGCTGAATGAGGTGCAGAAGGAAAAAAAGCAGTCTCTAACTCCCTAATATCTATGATAAACAGTGTTCTTGGATTTATAGTTTGTACCCATTGATTTGCAAGCCGCGAGCACAGCTCTGTGGCACCTCGGCACTATTATTTCCCTCCCCTGTAGGTATTGACTCAGGTTGCTTGAAACATCAGGGGATTTACTAAAATAAATTCTTCAAGTACCCTATCATATAACATAGAATAAAAAAACAAGGGTGAACATGCCGGGGAAAGATGTTGACAAGAAAAAATAATCTGTAGATATACACGGTCCCTATTCGACAAGATGTTACAATTTTCATATTTGTGGATTCCCGACGTTGGCACTTATAGATTAGAGAACAACCTACCGTCTTCAGAACATAAATAAACCTATAAATAGATAAACCTATTTTAACCTACTGCATCAGCTTATAAACTACTATTTAATTCCAGCATGTGTTTTCATTATATATTCCATTCAAGTTTTTTAACATAATATGAATGTGTGTGCATATATATATATATATATATATATAAATAAATAAAAATATATATCCCTTTCCAGATAGATAACATTCAATTTATACCTATGATGGGTATTTCTGTAGAATCACGGCATCGCAGCATTTTCTGTTAATTTAATGTTGGGTCTTCTGATAATTCCTTTTGCTCTCACTGACTGAAATTCAGTTTGATACCATTTGTAATGCCTGTTTTTTATTTATCTCTATATATGTATATATTTATTCCATAAATCTCATAGGGTTTCGTCTTCTTTTTCTCTTCTGAATGACCAAAATACCAGTTAGAAATCTAAGGGTAAAAGTTCCTAAATGTTATCTCTCATCAAGATCTTTTTGGAAAACACTTGCGTAATTACAGCAAAATCTTTTTCTCCATTGCCTCCCTTGCCTTTAAAAAGGATTTGCTTTCTTGTGGAATGTTCTCTTTGCCCAACTCTGCGAGCCGAACTGTAATTTGCTGCGGACTCATTTTTCTCGCTTCCTTTTCTGTAGGCGGAGATAGGTCCAGTCGCCCTGAACCTCACCGACACATCGGTGGGAGCCAACGGCAACGGTGTCAGCAGCAGCCCGACCGGCAACGCTGGCAAGCCTCCAGCTCTGCCCACCAGCAGCGCTTCCTCCTCGCCAGTGGGAGCCCCCCCTCCCCCCGGGGCCCGTCGACCCTCATCCCCCGCCTCCCCAGGCCTCAAGCCTCCCTCCAAGGGCTCCCCCGGACGGGGAAAGGGCACCTGGAGGGTGGAGGACCTGGAGGGGGAGCTTGAGAGGAAGATCAAGATGCTGGAGAAAGAGCGGCAGGCCATGAGGAAGGAGACGCAGGGCCATCACGAGAAAATCAACCAGGGCATCGACACCGTCACCCACCGCGTCACTGAGCTGGAACACAGTGAGTCCGTAGGAGAGAAAAAAAAGCGGGGGGGAGAGTAGCTTCATGCATAAGGAGCGGCATATGAATACGGCGTCAAGCTAACATACATAACAAGATGGCGAGAGAAAGTTGAAATGAAAGTCTAATGAGCTCTGTGGGTGAAGTGGGTCATCGCAGCAGTAGAGAACACACTGTAGATTACGGTATAATTAATGAGGGCTGGAAGTTGTGAAATGTCACACAGGGATAGGGGGTAAAAATGATAGAGCTAAAAAAAGATTAGATGGGAATTAAACGATCTGGAATCACTGGCTGCTTTTGCTTGTAGATCTACGGTCTGGATGTCGCGGCTGTGAGGAAATTTTTTTCGGAGACACTACTGAAGGGCTTTTAAGAGGAATTTGTGACATTTTCCCCTCCGAAAGTCAAACCTGATAGACTTCAATTAGTCTTCCAGATTTGAAAGGTTGCCTTGAGGGAAGTTATTAAAAAAGACTCAAGTCCTTTTCGGCAGTCTGTCATTCTTCCAACCTACTTTAGTGTCTTCTCTGCTTTAAGAGCTGCTGTGGCCTCCGGTTAAATGGCCGATCATTAACTTTAGCACTTGAGCTCTTGCCAGGCACATGAGGATGAGTGCATTTGCAGAGTCCTTGCATAAACTTTCCCCTTATCGTTCACTCCTCTATTTGCATCTTTAATTATAAACCCCGTACTCGCTGTCTGACTGCTTCTCTTTCCCCCCCCCTTTGATCCCTTGATCTCAATCTCCAAAGCACTGACAGAGCCGCCGTTCCCTGATGGCTTTGTCCTCTCCTTCCCCATGCGGACCGACTACATGTACGGCCTGGTGAGGAAAGAGATAACCGAGATGTACGCCTTCACCGCCTGCGCATGGCTCAAGGCCAAAGAAGGTGGCATTGGGACTCCGTTTTCCTACTCCGTCCCAGGGCAGCCCAACGAGCTGGTGCTGCTGCAGGGGGTACACAATCCTGTGGAGCTGCTCATCAACGATAAGGTTTGAGAAATGTTCTCCCTTAATAGATGCTGCAAATTATTGTCTGATGTGTGTTTTGGGAATTATTTAAAAAAATATGGTTAAATCATAAAAATTATTTAGGAATTAGAGGGCCTTTCTTGAGAAAAACGACAGTATTTTACACCCAGGTTTGTCTCAGTTTCGAGACTTGAGCAAAACAGCCTGCGAAATCATCACTAGATTTGTGCATTTTTTCTTCAAATTAAAGATGACAATTCTTGGAACAGAATGACTTCATATGCCGTTTACATAAGTGTTGGAAAGAACCAGCTGCTGCAATCGAAAATGACACAGCTTTCCATCACCGGTTCACTCGGCGGGATGTGAATCACGATCTACAGCTGATTTTCTGGAGTGTGACGAGTTCACACGTGTTCATGTCTATCAGGAAAACTATAAGAAAAACAGATGGTGCCCTTGCAAAGTACATTAAAGTTTCAAAACTCCTTTGTGGCTCTTCAAATGTAGGTGACAGAAGAAACTAAACGCCTCTTTAGGACAGTGATTTACCACGTCAATAGGGGAAAAAAAAGAAAAGATAGATAAAACCCTCTGTAAAAGAGGCAGTGAGATTTGGATAAAGTCATGTCTGATGAATATTTGATGAGACCCACAGCTACAGTAAGACATGCAGTTGAAGGGGACATGCAACAGATGAGCTTTTTACAGCTCCTGCTCAGAATGTTGCATTTTAAAGTGGCTACCCGGTTGACATGATGGCAGACGGGAATGGAGTTTTTCTGCGGTGGAAGGAAAGCTCAGACTTTCCCCAAAAATAAAACATCGAGCTCACAGTTTGTGCTTCATCATCCAGTCGAAATGCAATCTGTGTGGGTCACAGGTTGAAAATAGACTTCGATCGGTCCGTGGTCTGAGCACAGGCTCCGTGTTTTCTGCCTCTCAGGTGGCGCAGCTGCCTCTGACCCTGCCGCAGGACGAGTGGCAGCACATCTGCGTCAGCTGGACCCTGAGGGACGGCGTGTGGAAGGCCTACCAAGGCGGGAAGATGAAGGGAAAAGGAGAAGGACTGGCTGCCTGGCATCCCATCAAACCTGGGGGAGTCCTCATCCTGGGGCAGGAACAGGTGAGACTGAGACATGGATGGTCGGGTTGATCGATGGAAAATCCTATTTTTAGGACGGTCAGTAGCGCCTCACACATTAAAAGGCAAAAACCTAATTGATTTTAGCTCACTCTGAGCCGCTGCTTCATTAGGGACTCACAACTCACAGACATTACGTAACTATTATGAAAACTGATGTTATTGCTCCTAAGAGTGTCACATTCATTCTGCAGCTCATTTTCTTTGCATGAAGGAAACAAAGCAGAGCGCTGTGAGTCCAGTTCAGCAAGATGACGCACTGATGCTACAAGGCTTGATTTAATGGACAGATTTTAGAAAGGGCAAGCACTTTATTAATCCCTCTGGAGGCTGACTGATTGATATTGTGAGCATGCATTGACTAGATTTCATGGGGAAAATCCCTAAACGTCCCCTGATTCTGGAAAGAATCAGAAAAAAAACATTTTTAATCTTATGTTAAATCGTCACAGTCTCAATGCTTATCTCAAGCTCCATTTATTTTCTTTTTATTTAAAAATACACTGTTTTTTTAAGGCAGTGCTCTTGGGCTTAGAAAAAGTAAATCATTGTCAATGCGTTTTTAGCATTCATTTAAATAAGCTTAGCTCTGAAGCACATATTAGAAAGTAAAATTTAGGCTATCTATCTGACTGAGATCACCAAAATTGTTTATCAAACAGAGAGTCCTACCGTACTGTGCAGAATTCTATTTTTTTAAATAGTAGAGAACATGAATTTGGATCAGACTAAATTAAAAAAGCATAATCAGTTTTTAGGTAACAGCACTTTAGTCAACCGGGAGTTCATTCTGACGTCCAGTCCTTTGTTTGTGCTAACTTTTCTCCCGATAAGGACACACTGGGTGGGCGCTTTGATGCCTCCCAGGCCCTGGTCGGGGAGCTGTCCCAGTTCAACCTGTGGGACCGGGTGCTGAAGTCCGCGGAGGTAGCCGCCCTCGCCGACTGCAACTCCTCGGCCCTGGGTAACATCGCCCCCTGGACCGATCACGACGTCGACGTCTATGGCGGCGCCACCAAGGAGTCCTTGGACCCATGTCACGCTGCCCAGAGGTCCAGTCCCACCAACCCCAAACAGTGAAGCCCGAACAGGGAAAGTGTTCATCGTGGTTCTGTTTGACAGCTCAAATTAGGAGCCAACTCAGATGTTTAGAGATGTGTCCAGTGGGGAGTTTAAAGTATAATTTATATGTTGGGAAATGATAAGCTCGCAGAGCGACTGAGAACGCCATTAAGTCGTAAAAGAGTGGTGTATCTGTTTCTGTTCTTTGTGTTGGTGTCTACGCTCACGTCTTTGCTTCTGCAGTGAGAAACAGTGAGTTCTGTTACAGAATCGCCTTAGTGGAGGCTGCATGGTGGATCACCTTCTGGCATTAGCACTTAACGGTGAAGCTTCATACGATGTCTGTCTTAATATCATGTTGGAACATTCACCTTTACAGCCTAGTTCAGACCGCTGGTCTGTTTACGGTTATGGAATTAACCTATAACGATGCCAAACCTGAGGCTTTCTCATTCATCGACATAGAGACACAAAGTTCTGTACTCATCTTTTGTCAGCATCGTTGTGTTAAATGCTACAACTGATTTCTGACACACTCCTGTGGTAGTTCTGACTTTGTTGGTCAAACAAAAATGAAAAGGGTTCATTTTTCAACTGTATATGATCCTGTTGAGTATTGTCAATGTGCTTTAAAGTTTTCCTTATTGCTTACCAGGATTTGGTATAAGAGTTTTCTTCTAAATATGTAATGTGTAATGTGAAATGTACTTACAGTAACGTTGTTCTGTGCTAGTCTGCTCCCCTGGCTGTAAGCCCCCGTCACACCTCACAGTCCTGCAGAGAAGTTGCAGAGAGTTTTGGTTCAGAACTTGGCAGCGCAGCTCTTTCTCTCGACCACTGAATAAACACCTTACATTTCACGAAGTGCCAGTCAGGCACTGGTTTTGTGATGAGTTTGTCAAGATTGTAGTTTCCTTGAATGTAAGCCAGATGGAATGTAAGAAAATTTGCATGTGCGTTTTCTCCATAGGCACATTTCCTGCTGAGGAAAGAAACTTGCTGATATATGTTGCTAGTCCCCCAAAACATACAGATGTTATTGTGGGAAGGAAAGAGTATGGGATGGATTGAGCACATGATGACCATGTTCTTAAGGCCTGTTGCTACAGAGAAGAGCCTAAATCTGGTTTGATTAGGTGTGAATGAACTCAAGCTTTTATTGAACGTAGGAACTGCATAACAAAGAAATAAAGAGGATATGATATGAATTATTAATTTAACTCATATAACACTTGATCTAGACTGTCTGCTTTTTTGGACTGTGCCACTTTTGCCCTGCCAGTTTACGCTTTGTACTTTGTTTATTTAGTAACAGAAACCAAAACCATTTTCACTTCCTGCTGTATTTAGCAATATTTACAGTTTGTTGAACCTCATACTGAATTTTTCTTTGGTGGAAATGAAGATTTTAGCACAAAAAGACTACACAGAATTGCAACAAATTAGTTACAAGCTAGTTATCATTAGTATGTTAATGTACTTGGTATTGTAAGCACTGAACATAGCAAAAGTGGTCAGTAGAAATGCAATGTTTGATGCATAGCCTTAAAGATTGTCAGTTTATTTATTTATTTATTGTTGAAAAGTATTTATTCATGCTCTGTCACAAGCGAGTCTCATGCCAAATTCAGATCAGGGAAGAGACAGTTGGCTGAGTATTGAAAAGAATCTAAAGAACTATTGCACAGGTCTTAAAGACACTGAGCTTGAACAAATATTTGTGAATCTCTACATATTTGCCACAAACTTAAAATAAGTGAATTCTCAAATAACATATACCATTTGTTAATTGCTGCTATTGAATTATAAATGTATGCTTTCTAAACCGTAGAATTTAGTTCTGTTTTTCTATTTTTGTTATGATATATACAATAAAATAATAAAAAAGAGAACCATGGACTTTCTAGTATCCACTTTATCACTTTTGAGCCGACTGAAAACCGCTGTTCAGAGGTAAAGTCAGCCAAAACTATTGTTTTAGGTAAAGGTTTGATACAACATATCCATTCAACACTGTGCAAAGAAAATTGACTGTGGTTACATTTTCAATTCAGGCAGATCTCTGGTTACTTATTACCTCAAGACATCAGCCCTACATCATGAGTTGACATCCTGTTGTGAAGTGCCTGCTTGGGCTCTCATGCCCTGAAAGGATTATCAGTTTTCTTTTTGTTCTAGCACTTTTCTTTCTTTTTTTCATTTTCATTTGCTATTCTACTTTGTCCGTCTCTTTTCCCTATTTATGTATCTATCCTTTGTTTCACTGTTAATGGCTGTGACTTTGCTGTGCTTGTCCATATTGGCATCACCACGGATCTTGTATGGTATTGTGAAATAAATGGATTAAACTGAAACTGTTGCCGCAGTGTCGTTGTTGCAGCCCCTTTGAAATACCAGCAAATGTTCCAAATGGGTTTGTGTGGTGTGCCCCTGAGGTGGTGAGAGCTTACAGTCCTCTAAGCTTGGATGTAATCCAGATGAGCTGACAGGTTTAAAGAGATGTGCTGACCTCGGCCGCGCTCACATTCAGCATACGACAGACACGCACAAGTGGTAAACCTTATTTCATTTAGTAAGTCAAACCGCGTCAGTTTATGGTTGGGTCGGATGAATAAGGATGCATATATACTGTACCTGTAGACAGTACTCTGTGGAGGCACCACAGAAAGTCTGACTCTGTAGACATAATATATTACTCATGGACTTAACTGAGACCATGCCGATTCGTGACTGCTGATCTGCCCACACACAAATATTTCTTGGCTCTTGTCTGAGCTGAACTGGGTGCTGAAGTGTAACCTCCCACTGAAAATGTTTCATGAAATTTTCATCTCACTTCAACTTGGTTCCTTCTTTTCTTTACTTATTTTGAGATATTTCAACAAACTAAGTAAGACTGAACTAATGCTGCTTTCCCTCAACCACCTTTTTGTAAAGATAAATCGTAAAGATGAAGCCAAAGCTTCAGCACTTAAAATTTTATACCCACATTGACCGTTTGGAAACCCACCCTCTTGTAGTAACAGTGTCATATCAAATTTGTAAATTCTATTTGATGATACAATTTTCTGTTTCTGTTCTCTTTTTGAACGTTTTCAAGGCTGAGACAACCACTCATGTTGAATATCAAACATACTGCTATGTATAATCACGAGATCATGAAGATAGATGCATTGGATCAGTATAAGTCACGGATAATTGCAGAATATTAGACCATATATGTTTTTCTTTAAGAGAAGCGATAATAAAAAAAAATATCCAGAGCGTAGTGTACATTTGTTCTAACCTTGTTAGTACTGATATGTCAATGATTTGAATCCTATTGTTAGCATTGTTTACCACGATCTAATTCAAAAGAGAAAAGAAGGGAATGAGTCAGTCAACTGGTCATCAGCTAGTTACTCAGCTCTTTTCAGTAATGCAATGATTCACACAGTCAATGAATATTTTTTATTTTCTATGACTATGTTATTCTTGGCTCTGTCTCTGTTTGTATCGCCTCAATCACAGCTTGTTAGTAGAATCACATGGGGTCTTCCTCTCCCGCTCCAACAGTCTGCTTCCTCTGCTGTTGAATTATAGATACTGTACAGCTTACCTCTAACTCCCTAAGAGAGCAATATCCAATAAAATTCCTAATTGACACGATTTCAACCCATACCAAATTATATAATAATTTAAAATTTCCTTTTAAAAAAAAACTTGTTTTCATCTCTGGTAGGCGTTTCACGGGGTGTGGCAGTGTGTGCATTTGCCATGTAGACAAAAAATAACAAATGCTTGTTATTGTCAATGCAACACTTCGTATAACTCCTCTAAATGTATTCTTTATTTTCTATTATATGCCTCCTATACTTAGTTTTGTATTTGATTTGGCCGACTTTTTTCCAACGTATTCATCGGCCCTCAGGCACCTCCATCCATTTTGCGTACCCATTTAGTCCAAGTAGGGTTGTAGAGATGGTGGAGCCAATTCCAGTTGTCATTAGAGGAAAGGTACACCCTGGACAGTTCAGCAGGCCATCACAGGGCCACAAAGACAAAGAAAACAGCAAACTAATGTAGGTAATTTAGAGTTACCAAACAACCCAACAAAGAGAGAACATGCAAACTCCACACAGAATGGACCAGGCCCCCAGGATTTGAAACAGGAATCCTTTTGATGAGAGGCAATGTTGCAAACTACCAAACTACTGCGCATCTCTGACACTTTCTTATGTTTTTTGTTTCCCTGTACCTAAAGTGCCATCAAATTCAGATTATAATGGCTTAGCATGCTCCATAACTGCTCAGACTTATGTAGAACCTTTTGTCTTACCTCACTTCATTAATCTATTTTATCAGTGGGAAGCGGATCAATACTGTCAGCAAAGTTCAAATAAAGGTTATGCACACAATTTACACACAGCATGGCAGCAGTAATTTTCTCTGATTTAACATGAAGCTATACATTAAGGTCACAAATACATGTTTGGACTAATGGTTCTGGTTGCCAGGGTAGACATGGTTGTCAGACAATGCCACTACTTGTGAGTCTCCTCCATGTACAGAGGAGGTATGCTGTATTTTTTATACATGTTCCACACTGCCACATTCAACATTTTATAATAACTAGTATTACAGTAGAAAACTTTTCAAAACATTTATGTATAAAATAATTTAATTGAATAAATAAATAAAAAGCAGTGAATCAAATATATTTTATTATTACTATTATATTATTATTATGAAGGATTTGTGTGAATTTCTTCAGGTTTGATGTTTATTAAGCATGTATGATATTTATCCCAAGTGACATGGTCTGTAAAGATATTCTGAATTAGAACTGTCCTAAAAAGATGACGTACCTCCAGGAAATGATTGATGTAATTTTCAACAAATGGGAACGCTGGTTGGTTGTCGGGGGCGGGGTTTCCTGTACTCGTAAACCTTGTTTAAAATGTCTCCTTAACAACCGATCTGAGAGTCAAACAGCAGAAGTTTTCGTTGAAGAATCGCTTGGTAAGTAAAGCATTTTTGTTTAAAAGGTCTCATTGACTAACCTTAACACACTGTTATTTGTCGTATAACAAAGGGGGGAATAAGATATGGTGACTTTGTGGTATGAAACGTGAATCATTAGCAGCAGCTGTTTGCTTTAAAATCAAGCTAAGCTAATTAGCTAGCTAGTAAAACCTGTCGCTGTTAGTAACGCGAAAAGCACGTTCACTGTTTGGAAGAAAACTCTGCTATGTGGTATCTGCAAAGATAACTTTATTTTATCTGTCAAGTGTGATTAGATAACTGTTGTAGCTAGCTAGTTCTGGCTCAGTGATGTCGGCTAACCTCCTCTGTAGTTGGGTCATTTTATAGGACTGCTAGCAAAAACTAAAACACTGACAAGCAGAATCTTGATCTCCATACTCCTGAATACATTCTTAGCAGCCATTTGACAGGCTTTGTAGACAGTTAGATTTGTCGATTTTATTTAGCACGCATGTCATTGCAGGAGTCGGAATGGCTGGGACAGGTGAGGGTAAGAAAGAAGAGGCCGACTACAAGAGACTGCACAGCTTCCCTCTTATCAGGGTAAGACATCAGGAGGCAGGACAGGAACATCTGTTTTATTCTAAACGTTTATATAAACTTCTGTTATGGAGGTGCCTTAGGTAAGTAGATTTAAGTACATAGATAATCATTGACTGCTAAAAATTTACAGATGTTTCTTTCTTTGTTTTTCTTTGAAAGAAAACGTCCACGTTGTCTAACTGAAATGGTCAGTTTGATTAAAGCAGTTTATCAGCACGCAGAAATGTTACTGATACCTTTGGGTTGCAGGACCAACATTAAGGGGCTGTATGTGAAAGCAGTGGCATTAATGCATGACTCACTTTTTCAGAAATGTTATACTTGGCTTATTAGACATGTCCCATATTTTAGTTTCCACTTTTCCTTGACCAGTGCATCATAGATGTGTGTAATATGACAGTATTATATAAATACCCTCAATACTTTAAATGCTGTAAGACCTTTTGTCTGTATAGAGCGGACGGAAGCACTGCAGAGATGCAGTGAACTTGTTATAAACAAGCTAAGAGGGAATGTTGGGTAAACTTTTGGCATTTCTATGGATATATTACTCACTATTTAATTTAAATGTGAATCTGTAAAGTAATATATGTCCTACATTTCAATACATCATAGTACACCATAGTACGTTATGATAGTTTAAGGACAAAACTAGTCTTCAACAACTGCTGATGTCTGCATGATGCTGCATTCATTATCCAACAGGCATTCTGTGATACTTAAACTTTACATGCATCGGATGGTTTTGCTTTGACCTCCGTCAAAATCCTTTAGGACCTTTTATTTTTTATGTATGCGATGCTAACTTACATAAAATACAACATCCAGAGGAGGGAATTCCTGGTTCCTAACATTTGTTTGTCCTCAGCACACGGATATGCCAGAGGAAATGAGGGTTGAGACCATGGAGCTGTGTGTAACGGCCTGCGAGAAGTTTGCCACCAACAATGAGGTGTGTATGGATCACGCAGTTAGTCTTGGAAATATAAAACGATTAACAAATTAGCCTCCACTCACTGTATGGAATCACTTTTCAGAATACACTTAAAATGAGGCTGTTGGTTAATTATGAATCTCTTTCACCATGACGTATCCCAGAGCGCTGCAAAGATGATCAAAGAGTCTATGGACAAGAAATTTGGCAGCTCGTGGCACGTGGTAATTGGAGAAGGCTTCGGCTTTGAGGTCACGCACGAAGTGAAGAACCTGCTCTACATGTTCTTTGGGGGGAGCCTGGCTGTGTGTGTGTGGAAGTGCTCGTAGCACCTCCTCTTTGACGTGGTCAGAGGGCTGTGAGTGAACACCAGGTACCAGGAAGACGCTGATTCCACTGCTGTTGTGGCAGGTTATCTTATTCCACGCTACCAACCACTGGCACTTGGTCAAGTTCTGGTCCAGCTTGATAAAGTTGGCAGGGAAAAACATATGAAAGGGAATTTAGAGTGTGACAGTCACTCTTTTTGGTAGGCATAAAAATGACTCCATGCCTTGTCAATGGCTGTTCTTTTCCTCTTTGTTGTTTTTGTTACCCTCTGTCTAACTCATGTCTCATCTTTGAGCATCATCCTGAATGTAAGTGGGTGTGCATGAGCAAGCAAGCTGAACTTTTACAAATACTGCAGCTAGCCAGGGTCTCCAAAGTCCTTTATCCTCCTTCCTCTTCAGGGAGTGTGCATGTGAGTGAGTGAGTTTACATGTTTGTGTGTGCTGGACACACACTTTTTATTTGAAATAACCCTAAACTGTCACTATCCACTGTAACCTGAGCAGGCCTGTGCAACCCTTCTGTCCACGCCCCTTCCCACACGTGTCTTTCTCTCAAACAGCACTAGTATTTCAATACACTTTGTAATATTTTTTATGTGTACATATTTTTATGCAACTTGAAAAGACTTTTTGTTAAGACCAGTGTCACCTTCTTACAATGGGAGCTCAGTCCTGAGCTAAACAATAAACACGGTCAGCCTTTTCTCCTTGTAAAGATGTTTGTAATTATCCCTAATAATATGACCTCGCTGGGTGACAAAAGCAATGTGATTGTTTCATGTCGTACCTGATTGTACATTAAACGCTAATGTGGTGAAATAGAGGCTGGGTCTGTATTTTTAAAATTATTTGTATTTATTTATTCATTAGTTTTACTTGTTGTTAGACTGGAAATCAAGGAGCAGCTTGAACATGGAGAGATCACTACAAAAATATATGCTGTGCAGATGTGTATAACACACTTACAATTGAACAGAAATAAAAAGGCATCATGTGTCAATGGAAAGAGATGGATGCCTTTTTATTTCTGTAGGTGGAACTTGCCCAGTTAAAAACCAAGACACTGCATGTATTTGATTCTGATTGCATAAAACATTTATTAAAAAAACAAACATCTGTTATGTCAATCAAATTCAATTTTAATATGGACTTTTAAAAATGTGCCTCACCAAAAAAGACCAGTGTGTCAGCAGCTTCTCTGGAACGTCTTTGTGAAAATACAAAAATACCCAGAGGAACAGACTAAAAAGAGATCCTTCCTAAAATATGGAGCCAGATTTTATGTGGAAAGACAACAAAGTGAGCTATGAAGTCTTTGGGGCTTTTCAGAATGGGGGATGATGGTTGAATAACAAAGGTTATCTTTGAGAAATGCTGCTTCTTTACAGTTTAGACCTTATCCCCCCTTTTTGTTTCTTAAATACATGACCTAAACGCAATTTCAGTTGGACAAAAATATATGGATGACACCCATAAACATTATTAACCTGTAAATGTATTGATTTGTTTTAGTAAAATGTTTTCATGCTGCATCAGTCTTCACTGGTCTAAAGTAAATAAACCCCAGTCCTTTTGTTCTGAAGCCAGAAATGATCAAATTGATGCCCAATGTTAACCTCGTGACTGTAAACAAACTGCAGTCTTATCTGTAAAGTTTTCTGTTCTCAGAAGTGAATCACAACGAGCTCCTATGTCTACTTCAGCACACGACACATCATAAACAAAAAGACTTGACTGCTTTGAGAAGGTAATAAAAAAGCATACGCCTTGCGGTTAGCCGCAGAAACAGTATACTAACACCGTGTTGTTGAAAAATATAAAATTGCAATTTTGGAACTGAAAGATGGGTGTGTGACAGAAAGCGGTTCGGTGTGAGCAAATGTTATAACGAATCCCTCAAATAGCAGAGACCGCCGTGACCCAGCAGTGAAGGCAAACAGGACTTTTGCTGTTGACAGATGAGCAGAATCTGGCACTCTCTGCCTCGGCATTTGTGTACCAGAAACGCTGTGCCCTCGCATCAAGTCATCCTGCCCTCTGGGTCCTCAAATGCCACTCACACAGTTTCACTGTGTGTTATTAACACATACAATATGCATGTGAAAATATCATGCAATATCTTAACTCTAGTTGGAAAGAGAAAGTGTTTTGTATGCCCACAAGGACCTCAGCTTTGACTCTTACGCAGGCTTTGATCACATTCTGAATAGGTTTTTTCTTTTTTTTCCCCAGCAGTCACGAAGCCTTTCATATGCTGGATACATCTGACCATGTAAGTTGTTGTCTACATATTTCATTTTCCGAGGCAGAGGCAGATCAGAAACCCTGTAAAGGTGTTTACAGACCACAGTATCTTGCTTTCTATCATCTCTGTTCGATATTCACATCGCTAAGACCTCGTTCAGGTTACAGAAAATAGAAATAATGTGTGCAAAACACCTCAAGAATGCTATAATAAATGATAGAAAAATAATCTCTAGATAACCATATTAACACACATCTCATCTAGTAAAACAAATAGAAAAATTGTCTTTTCCAATTATCTATTCTCCAACTGTCAAGGTAAACCTTGGAATATCCAGGTAAGAAGGGGCTGTTGTTGTTTACTGTTTACTTATTCAGAAAGTCACATATAGACGGTGAGAAATGTCCACATTGTTATTCTGTACCTTGTTTTCCTCCCACAACTGACTCTGTAGAGCTTATGTATACAGCTGTAAAATTCAAATGAAGTTTTTCTCGAGATATACTAGTCTCTGAACCTATAGGGTTGCGGTTTGGACCTTTGTTGTTGAAATGCTAAATGTCTTCAACATTTTGCATCTCATTCAAAATGTAAGCTTTATTTAACTAAGCGGATGTCTGAAACTGTCTGAAACACTGCTGCAACATCACAGTGGTGGACCAAGTCTGTGCATTCATAGACCGTCATTATGACATAGAAAACCTAAGATTATCTGAGGTGGAAGTTTAACATTTACACTGAGCTTAAAAGAGAGCTTTTAGTAACGTCCAATTTCAAACAGTAACAGATAATCCTGCTGTTTTTAAAAAATGTATTTATAACATAACTTCATACCTGTAAACTGCATTAATTTTTATCTCAAGCACCTGAACTGAACACCACCTTTATTTTTTATCAGCGACAGTCAGTATAGATTTGATATAAACTCCTATCTTATCTCATCATTAGGTAAAAGTATGATAAACTGTCACGCAGCAGGGTAAACCCTGCATCTCTCTCTTTGGCAGCAGGGATAAGCTCCAGTCCCCCTCCCCATGACCCCGAATTGGATTAAGTAGGTATAGAACATGAAAACATGGCTGGATCACGGCTTACCTCAAAGTAGACCCTCTCACTATGTTTTTTACTTTGCTTTTCACAGATCTCCCCTCTCAGGCTGAGCAAAGTCCCACCCTGTTTGGACAAGTGTGTTGCAGGCACAAAATAGACCCTCCACTCAACCACATTACCTTGAAACTTGCTGGATATCATCAAATAACATCGAACTGCAGAAGTCCTAGCCATCAGCACAAAAACTCTGCTTTTTACTTTCAGGGAATTTCATTTTCCATTGAAACCAGAGTGACTGTTGCAGCAGTGGCTGCCTTGCTGTATCATAAGAGAGTTTCCAGATGAATCCAATCAAAAAGCCAAAAAATATGTGGTGTGACTGACAGTTTCATGAAAAAAATGTAAATAATCTTTTCACCAGAAATAGATTTTTGATGTTGAGAAACTGTCCCAGTTTGAGGATAGCTGACCTGATTTTGCATGTAAACATCCAGGCGTAATAACGGGATGGTTTTGAAAGGGATACATCTGGATGCGCTGGGATTTGTGCCAGCGTAATTCACTGATAGTTTTCACCCAGATTTACCTGTCTGACCTATTTACTGAGAAGGAGTCCGAACACATTCGGCAATTAATGATTTTGGTGGATGTTTTTGGAAACATGTTTTTATCAAGAGAACCACTTTGTTCATTACCTACCCCAGACTTTATATAACTCCTCCTTTTGCTTGTGTCTTGCCTGCATTGTAAAATATTCATACACAGAGTCACACAGTCACTCTAAAGGCTCGGCAAGTTTGTGTGGTCTCAACACTAAAAGCTCACCCTGGTACTGGGAAGGGGAAATTATTATTCTTGCAGAGGCTCTTTATAGATTTAAGCTCCAGATCTACCTCCTGGGGTTGTATTAAAGGTTATGCAGTTACGCTTCATGGAAATACCACACAACTGGCCTTGTGCAATTCTAAGTTTAAGACCAAACAGAGGCAGCACATGGAAGTGTCCTGTTTCCATTCATGCTTGCTCTCAGATCATGTTCACTCAGATTTTCTGTTATAATTCTGACTCATGCAACTGCAGGAGTTCTCCCAGGGTTAATGGGATGTATCAGAGATGGACAGGATACACTCCATTAACCGTGAACTACTTTGTGGATGGGTCTCTGCAGGAATTATCTGCTCGTAAAGATGACGTCACAGCGAATGACAGGGGGAGAAATGGGTTTAAATGTAGGACAATGCGGTGGATAAGAAAGCGTTAGAGCTTTAATTATTTAATTAACAACATGGGTCATTTACAATAAAAAAAAAAACAATGAGAAAGTGTGGCGGTCATTAACAGTAAACCCGCTGTGGCGAGAACAGAACATTCGAGGAATTTCAACAAAAAATAAGAGAGAAGTAAACAGATGACGGCACACTGGAGCAAGACATGAGAAACCAAAGGACCAACTCCTGCTGTGTTTGCCGGCAAATTCTGTACAGTGCTCGACATGTAGTACGGACTGGATTTTTGTTTACAACAGCTGCAGTGATTGGAAACCTTGACTAACACAATGCAATGCAGTTGCATTGTGCTGAATGCATTCAAAGGTGATCATTTAATTAAAATCTCCAACTATACAGAACATGATAACAGATTATGGAGTAGATATATTTGGGGACTTCTCAGTTCTCAGAAAATAGACTGTGCTCATTATGATTGTCATCACAAAAGGAGTAAAGAAACGTGGCTTTTGTTATCAGGAAACTACACATACGAGTCCTCAAGCAGTTGATGCTTGACTTCAAGGGCTCAGGGCCATCACATTTTGTCCTCATAGGAAGCTTCTTTCCGTGTTGGAAAAATGTAGTGCTGTATCTTAGCAACCTCCTTACCTCCTGTGATGACAGAGGGGCTTTGAAGCATCCCTGAGTGTGTGAGCGTGTGTGTGATACTGACACACACAGGAGGTAAACACAAAGAAAGAAAAGAGGGAAAATTAGCTGGAAGTTGGATATAAAGTGACAGACAACTTAAGGAATAATGGAACTGCTGATCAATTAGACATAGCATGTGAAATATAGATTTTTGAGAATTGTTAAGGAACTGACACTTCACAGAATTCAGCAGTCATTTCTAAGGTACAGAGAGTTTGTGTGTAGGCGACTCAGAGGTTTGTGTCAGGCAGCCAGAAGTTAGAGACAGGGTGCATCAGAGGACAGACGAAACAAAGGGGGGGATGAATCTTTCATCTGAACATGACTTGTGGGCTTTTTTAATTTAGAAATGAGAAACATGATACAATATTAATGGCTGTTTGCGTGTGTGTTTCAGTAAGTGCCTGTGAAGCGGCGCCTCTTTTGATCCCCAGTAGCCACGCCGTGTGCACTGCATCGGCCAAACTCCGGAGAGAAATAAAAGGGGGACTGTAAATTTGGTTAAAATGGAGGAAGGTTCTGAAATGAAAAGAGAACGGAGATATGGAGTAGATAAAAGATGAGTGGGTGTGTGGATCAAACCTAAAACAGCTTGTTCATAATACATCAATGGGGAGATTGAGGCAGAGGGCGCATATAAGGCACAAATTGATTAGTAAAAAGCAGAAGCCCACAAAGAGGTTGTGGGTTTTCTGAAATATGTAAAAAGAAAATATTGGAGGGAAGGAGACTGAACTGAATGTTACGATGTTGCTGTCATTTAGACATGAATAGCCTGATGGTTGTGAAATCATTTTTCTTTCAAATTTACCAATTAAGTCAGAAAAAAAGTATTTTAATATACTTTCTCATGGTTGGGAAGACTAACGTTCACTTTCATTTTTGATGCTGTTTGAACCTTGAGAACCGTACAGAATATAAACGAGATTTATTAGCTGTCTAGGTATATAACACCAAAAGTAAGTATATGTAATTTATTCAAAAGTAAGTCAGGTCATTCATGTAACTGCTTTTTGAAATCTTAATATTTTTATCATTAAGCTTCACCTAAGCGGTGCATGACCAAAAAAATAAGGATAAAGTTTCCTGGGTTCTTATGATTACTATCACAATAGAAAGAAATATTATCCAGGCTTTTTCTCACTGAACAGGAGGAAAACGTTACTTCTTTAATGTTACTCTGGTTTTATAACCGTATTTTTAATTCAGATTTAGACAATGTTTCTATCTGACACTTTAATATTTTATGGGCACTGGTGAATAATGAATGAACATGACCACCTGCGTGAAATGGCTTAATTTAAGCATCGTCATTTCACCCTGTTACGCTGATATAAGTGAGTCACGTTGTCTTTTTTTTTGTCAATATGCTCTCCACAGAATCACATGGGTATGACACATTTCACATGGCCAGTGCTGAGTGAACTCACATGCAGGCTTACACAACGTGTCGACACACTTTAAAGAGCCAGACTTCACAGGAATGATGCATCCTGTGGGACCGGTGAGGACTGATGTGAGTGAATCAACATCTCAAAACAAACTCAGAATATGAAAGCTCTGTCTTTCCGGCTCCACAGTTAAGAAGTGCTTCAGTTTCATCACAAACACACTGGGGATTGTTTAATATATGAATGCAATAAGTCTCTGCTGGCTTTTCCTAAGATCTTAAAGATAATTTAAGAAGACCAGACCAAATAAAAAAGTCAGCAGGTTAGCAATAACACAGCTTATTCTACAACCAAGGCATCAACAACAGCTAATTCAATGTAGTGTGCTTATCGTAATATCTGTTTAGCAAAATGAAAATTCATGCTTTAGTGTAACTGAAAAAATCTGCCCTGATTTTTTTATGTGTGTCTCTAATTTTCAGCAAAATACATTTTGATCGATGATAGTGTATGAGCCTGTGAATTGTCATGGAATATATGTTTAATTGTCTATATTTCCATTAGAGGAACTGTCAAAATAACAATTTCAGCTTAATGGATAAAGCACTGACTCAACTTCCACTGTTGCTCTCACAACAGTTTCTTAAAATTAATGTTTAAATTTAAGATACTGAGAAAAATATAAGCTGTTTTTATCTCAGTTTGATGCAGGGTTAAATAACATATGTAACATGATTTCATTCGTTACACATTTGGTCCATCATGATACAAAGAGAGGAGTCAAGTTGCGTAAGACAAATACAGTGATAGAAAAAGGCCTGGTGTGTAAACACATTGATTTGTGTCTGGATCACTTTAACCTGGCTCGCTCCCCACCTGCATTTTGTAGAAGGCGGAGAAAAGTACAAACTGTTGGGTAAAAACTGCCCTAATTCTGGATAATCTCTCATCAGACTTGCAAGAGAAACAGCAGGCAGAGCTCAGGGGTGTCAAGAAGCTTTTAAAAGGAAGGAACGCGTTTGTAAGTTTATTTTAGCTTACCCTTTACCCTCATGATTAAACTGATTTTACTCTACCCAGAGGAAATGGATCACAATGATCATTGAGAATTAAAAGAGATAGTAATGCCTTGACATGCTTCATTAAAGTCTTTATCCAGACTGGTTCCTCAGTATACCTACTATGCTTCTTCAAACAAAATCTCATGCTATTTAAAAAAAAATATTTTCTTTAATGGACTTCTTTCCCTTCTCATTCTCTTTTCAGTAGGATGACAAGGCGTTTGCGCTATCGCTCCAGGACAATCTGTCTGTCCTTGGCCATTATTACAATTTTCCTCCACCTCCTCCTGGCAATTGCTTTGCTTTCCACTCACCACCTGCCCTGTGACCCCCCATTGCCACCAAAGACACATTTCCTTAAAGACTCGGGATGCACCAACTGCAACACGGTGGGAGTCAAAGGTCCGGCTGGGCCTCTAACTGATACCATACAAAAGGATTTTTCCAGCAAAGATGCCAAAAAGGATACCAAAGGTCAAGTGAAAAAGCTTTCGTACAAAAGCTGGCCAGTGAAAGGAGGAAGACACGCCCTGGTCGCCACAGCAACGGCTCAGGGTCACAATCAAACTGAGTCTTTTGAGTCTGACTTGTCAAAGTTGGTGGCACTGTTTGACCATCCACTTTACAACATTCCCAAGCCAACAATCCCTGAGGAGGACTGGCTGCTAAAAGTGAAGCCAAAGGTGAAGGCAAGTGAGAGAAGCTCCCAGATGTGGTCAGTATGAAACAGTTAATGTACCCAAGACTTGACTTGTGTGTTTGTGAATTCTCTGAAAACATTACTTTTCACTCTCACAAACAAGAAATACCTTTTGTAACCTAAAGGCATTCTGTTACCAAAAAGCATTGATTTCAACCCCCCAAAGCATTTTTAATTCCGCTATTTTCATTTAGCTTCGCAGCTCCAAGGACTGTACAACCTTCCTCTGCAAAAGACCCATTGAGAGATGGAAAAATAGAATTTAACAGCATCAATAAATCATTACTAAAGCGTTTTAATGGTAATTTAGGTTACACACCAGTTGGTTTCTTAGCATTTTCTTCAGAATATTGATTGTAAAAGATTTTCACCAGATGGGTCAAATCTGCAGAATGCAGATAACTCTAAAGCCACTGATCATCTAAATGATCTAAAGCCAAAAGTCCCATTTTGAAGGACTTGCATACTTTCTTTTATGTGTCTTTCTAGTGGGTTACCTCTCTCATTATTTTTCTGGAATATCCATGTCATGTCATTCTCCCTTTTGTTCCTGAAATAAGTGTTGTGGAGTAAACCTTTTTCATTTTACCAGGTGCGAAATATTCTTTGCACCAATTATTTTATCTTAGGATAGATTTGAGAAAAAAAAAATCCTGTGTAAGTACAATTTATTTAACAAATTTTGTCTGTTTCCAGGGTGAGTGCCAGCCAAGAAAACTATGAGGACGTCCAGTGGAACAGCAGCAGCAGCAGCCACCCTCCATGGCTGCGCTTCCACCTGGGCATCACACGCTGGGAGCTGTACCCACATCCCGACCCCGATATTGAACTTTTGACCCAGCAGCTCGCCACCAATCGCGTCGTCAGTGCAGGTATAACATACACGATCTGGTCTTTAAGGAACAGTAGCATCCGATTTAGTTTAATCAAAAATTAATGGGATACGCTGCGATCTGCACAAAATTACACTTTGACTTGAGATTAAGCATATCTATAATTGAGATTCTCAACCAATCGTGTGGTTGTAAAGGTCTGTAGGCCACAGGGATTGAAAGGCAGAGTAAAGAAGAGGGCTGTTTTGATCATGTGACACCTCAGGTTCAGGGCCAGACTTTCAAATGTAGATTCACTCTGAAGCTCAGGATGCTCTGAGGAACCTTGGAGGTTCAGTCAGAAAGCTTATGAGTTCAGTGGAAGGGCAAGAACCCATGAGCCACTTCTGGCCACAAACGCTGTTATATAGCAAAGTTTTAGCGTTGGTGTTTTCACTGGTTACTAAGTGAAACAGGCTCTATGGTTGGTTTAATTTCAGAGCAACAAGATCTCAGAATGCTGGTACCGGACAGTTTCTCACCTGTTTAACTGCAATATCTATTTTAAGTTGTCATCCCTTATCCACCATTATCCAAATTTTACTTAATACTCTGTGCCAAGATGATCCCAGCATGCATCAATATTGCTTTTAGGGCTTAAGAATGGCCCTGTAACATGGACCATTTCTGATTAGAGCCTTGACAACAGTTGAAATTAACTGCCAGATGCTCTCTCAGGTTCTATTCAGGTCTTTCAATGTATTTTTTCCTACTTTTTGGCCTGATAGACCATATTTTGTCCTCTGCTTTTCCACTTTGCTTAAATTATTATAAGAGTTTCCAGCTCATTATGCCTGGTTTATTCAACTGTACTAACTTACCATTTAGGACTCATTAATCCTGCTCCAGTATATTTTACTGAATGGCTCTAAAAAGATAGACTGTGTTCCCTTAATGTAGCTGTGTGGCTCTGAAGGGAATTGTTGTAAAAGAAGCAAAGTGCTGCCAAATATCTCAGCTATATAAATGTGATACATACCATGATGGAGTCGGAGTGTATACACACAAACCATTTGAAATGTGCCGTACTTGTGATTGTATTTGTGACGATGCACATATCTTCTTTGTTACACTATGTGTACATTTGCTTCCATGTGCCGATGCGCTCTGTGTTTGATCACAGCATGGCATGTGGAAGCGAGTGCATTGTGTGCTTTGTTGCCATGGTAACATTCTCCGGACTGTTTTTCAGTGCAGAAGTCTGGAGGGACACAATTGAAGCTGGTGATGTCATTTCCCAACTATGGACAAGCCTTGTTAAAGCCAATGAAGTGAGTTACAAATGGAACAGCCAGCACATTGAATTGATACCTGAAGCATGTTTGGTTCATTCAAATACTAAGAAGTGACATCATTTTGAACATCAAAAAATCATCATAAATGTCTATATGTAGATCATCATTAAAATAATTTTGAATACAAGCCTGTGTGTGCCTGCTTAGATAAAGTGTGTGTAAGTTTTATAGATATGGCCATGTTTTCATAAAGTACATATCAGTGACTGCCTCTGCTTTGACAGGCAAGAGAGACACGAGGAGACCAACTTCAACCTCTACTACTTCTCAGACTTTGAGAGACATAATGCAGAAATTGCAGCTTTTCATTTGGACAGGTACGGAGTTGGAAACATTTCCAAATGAAACATACTACAGCATTAACACAGCGAGCCTCGTAAGTGAAATATTGGATGAAGTACCTACATTAAGGGTACACTCTATTCAAAGTTATTCCTCACCCAGCGCCTTCCCTCTCTGGCTCACTCGTTCCTTTATTGCTGCAGTTGGCTGTGTCTTTATTTCATAAGGTCTTTTATTCTCTCTGCAGAATCTTGGGTTACAGGAGAGTTCCACCTGTGGTTGGACGGCTTGTGGATGTGGTCAAGGAGATCCAGGAGATCACTACTGACCGGAAGTTGGCCAGAACCTTTTTTTCCTCCCCTGGTACACACGCTTTAACCACTCAGTTGCTTGAATATCGTCTCGGAATCTTACCTAGAAGAATGTTTTTAATTTCAGACACCTCAAACTTCTTAAGTGTCAGATTCTACTTTGCCATTATTTTAATTTCTCCATAACCAAGCCCATTTTTTCTCTCTTGGTGCTCCTCTTGCTCCCCCTAGTGGGAAATGTGTGCTTCTATGGCGAGTGTTCATACTATTGCTCCACGGAGCATGCTGTGTGTGGCCGTCCCCGGGACCTGGAGGCCTCCCTGGCTGTCATGCTACCAGATAATTCTCTAGCAGCCCGCAGAAGTTGGAGATCCCCTTGGAGACGCTCATACAGCCGGAGCAAGTTGGCCAAGTTAGTGGATGTAGAGCAGCCTGATAAAAGATTTAGCATGTTACCTCTGCATGACTGCAAAATTCATAATGACTCGAACGTTTGTTTAGAGAGGAGGTCATGGCTCAGTTTAAAAAAAAAATCTTTGTACTATGTGAGGTTTATTAGATGTGATCTATTCTGATGTTCCCCGATTGCTTAACTTGTGTTTTTCAGATGGGAAACAAACCCTGAATACTGCTCAACGGTGAAAAAGACCTCCCCCTATGACAAGGGCACAAGACTGGTGGACTTCATGGACATGGTCATACTGGACTTCCTAATGAGTATGTGTTAGAAAAAGTGGATTTTCAGAGGCAGCATCACTCTTATGACTGTTAAGTTAGAAACAGGCAGTCATCAAGAGTTGGATTTATGCTTCTTAAACTGATGCTTCTTTAAAGGCGTGTTGAGGGTTTGGTGGAAATTTTTTACATGGCACAGCTTGCTTCTTGACAGAGAAAGAAAAACAGGCATGTGAATGCCCTCGTACTGTGTGCTCTGACTCACTTGTGACATTTCCAATAATGTAAAATGACAAAATAATTTATCTCTTCCTGATCAAATGTTTTTTGCGGGGAAAAGAAAAATAACGACATGAATACTAATAACACCAAATTACACCAACAATCTCAGCCAGCAATAACTTTAATACTCAAAACTTGTATTCAATTGTTCAATGTTAGGCCCCAAAAATTAATTTTTGGGGCCTAACATTGGTGCATTTGTTTAGTTGTCAAACGTATTGAACAAACCATTTCAATGTTCTAACTAGTGAGTTGTATTTGCACTTTTCACTATATAATATAGTATTTGAAACACAACAGCATAACAAATTTAAGTGTAAAGTAGGGGGAGAAAGACGTTCATGGCATTTTGGCGTACTTTGACCTTTACCAGCAGTCAACGAGCCCAACTCAAAGCAACGCAACCAAAGTCAGCCTGTTTCTATGGCAACGAGGCGTCGCAACTTCTTCGCAACCAGGTAAGAAAGTCACAGAAGTTGCTTATGTTTCTTTGGATAGCGTCTACCGAGTTAGCCTAAAGTACTTCTCGGATTTTTTGGAACCCATTGTTATGACTGTTTTTGGCATTTTAAGTTTAAGGGTTCGTTGTTGAATTTGTTGAACTTTTGGAAGTATTTCTCTCTTTTTTTCTTTTACAGCAGCCTTCATAAAAAGGATAGCATTCTAGCTAGCGAAATGCTTGCACTCGCTCATATCAACAATTTACTCTACCGTAGCAAAATAGAGTAATTTGTTAGGTAGTTTACTGTAACCATTATAACTATAAATACCATACCAAAGGTGGTAGTATATATATTTTACGTGTTCATTTAAATGAGTTCATGATTTCTCTGCACACATCCACTGGACGTTTCTTGATTTATTGGATTTGTTTTGTGTGAATAAATCAGTTTAAAAGCTCTTAATTCTAGCACAGTAAATGTGTAGCAGATTCTTGTCTGATAATACAACAGCAAATAAATGTACTATTAACCAAATATTTGCTGAAATAATGTTTTCACCCTTAGAAATACCAGAGAAAGTAGGCTGGCAAGGACACCCATTTCATCATACCTGCTGATGGTATTCAAAGAGAGAACAGCAGCATGTTCGCTGCCCCTTCAAAAGACGGGTCTTGTGAAGGATCCTCTCAGATCTGTGACAAAGATGTTACAAAACGTAGATCCAAGGTGAAGAAAAAGCTTTATACATCAGAAGGGACGTTACCACCTTTATTCCCAAAGCCTCCTTCTTTCACAACTGCCTCTGTGGCTAAGCCTCTGATCAGTGAGACATCCACTGTAAAATATATCTCCCCCGACACACCTTTGTCTTTGCTGGAACTACCTGATCTTATTGATCAGATAGGGGAAAAGAGAGCCACTGCTGAGTCAAAATGGACGGAAGGACCTTGGCTGATGGCCACAGCATTGGGGACTGCAGTCCCAATCAGAACAGCTCAAATGAAAACACAAAGGTATATAATCACAAGAGTATATTCATTTACTCTTATTGCGCAGGTTCACAGTGGAATTATTCCATCTTTTACTTTTGAGTTGTTTTCAGTTTAGTTTATATGACTCACATCTATTATATAAATAGAATAAGTTAATATATACAGTTGTCAAGGAAAACAGATGGTAGAAAAATACTGTAAAGACATAATTTTGTCTTCTTTCTTCCTGTTCTGTTGTTTTAGTCTTACAGAAGTGAAAACTTGCAATGATAAAAAGATAGGAGACAAAGGAAAATCACCCAACTCAAAGAAGTATCCTCTCACTGGCACAGACGTTGTTGAAATGTTTGTCAAGAAAAGAGACCAGGATGATGTTGATTTCTATTACCTGAAAGAAATGGATGGAGATACTTACAGGTAAAAGTCAGGGAAATATGCATCACTGTGAACTTCAGATAATTGTACATCCTCTCATGTCATGTTATTTAGATATATTATGTTTTAAATGAATGTACAGTCCAGTGTTTTCTTTCTTGATAGACCCTATGATCTGCGAGTGGTCCAGTGCAGGGATGCTGGTTCTGAACACTACATCTTCTCCCCCAACACTGTACTTCACGTGACAAAGACAGGCTTTGGCGGAGTTGTCAGCCTGGCAGAGTGGTACAGCGAGTATGTGCTGTGGATGGCTTTACAGAAGATACCCTTTTTCAAGGACTTCAGACTTTTGAAAACATTTGGCTGGTAATATAAAAAAAACAGTATTTCGTATTGGTCTGTTACTAATGCAGAGATACTTTTGTAATTATTTTTTCATGTGCTCTGTGTATTTCTGCGGCAGGTGGCATAAAAATGTTCGGAAAATCCTTTTTCAGCGTAGATGTAACAATCTGCAGGATATGCTTCTTCTCTCAGTACCACATTTCAGAAATGCTCTTTATCTGTTCACTGGGTGAGAAAAGGATAACCTGACTTTTTTGAAAGTGTAGAACAGCTGTAATTCAGTAGTATACTTTTAGCATTAACAGTGGCTTTGAATTATTTTCCACGCTTTATTTGAGTTAAATTTGATAACAGTTGTTTGGATTGGGAATAATTAGACATAATTATAATAATTATAATAATAATCTTTCGCAGAGTGATTGAGGAGCTTAAAGGGAAACATTGGATTCCTCTGGAAGACTCTAAAACCTACACATTGCTTGAATTTAAAGCTGAACTAACAAACAGGAATCAAGAGTGTCTTCTGACTCTGGAGAAGTTATCACAGTATCACACTGTCATTCTCAATGCGGTACATTTTTATTTCACTATCTTTCAGCCTTTGTAAATAGCAGTCAGTGGTATTTGATAGAGAAAATGGCATTTCTTTCCAGCTTTTCTGCAGTCAACTTTTATGATCTTACATCCTCAGGTGAAAGAGGAGAGCTATAATACACACAAGAAGCTAAAGGAGAACATAAAACTTGCAAAAAGGCAGAATCGACGCCATGAACCCATTCACCTGCTTTTGGCGTACCGGTACGAGCTGAAGAAAGAGTTGTCCAAGTCAGAGAGTGTCTTGCAGAAATTGGGGAATTTTGCAGCGCTTGTCCATCAAATGATTGTGCAGAGTCTCGCCACTGTCATCCAACAAGATGCTGCCTCTTTTCTCAGTTATCTAAAGGTGCCAACTGAGCATTCAGCAATAATTAAAAAGTATTTAAATTATTGCATTTTTTTTCACACACCACACACAGTTTGTTCTACAATTGTCACAATAAATACTGACTCATATGTCATAGGCAAGTTGATAATGAATCAGAATTGTAACATTGATTTTATGGAACCAACTGATGTGTTTTTGTTGTCAGAGGATGGCAGCTCAGCAGTACTGTCTCTTCAATACTGAGCTGTGTCTTGGAGAAAAGCTGACTGTGCATCCACCAGTCTCTGTGTTTCGAGAAACTGTGAGGGAATCTCTGCTGACGGCTGGCAGCTCCATTATCGACGTATGTGTTGTTTCAGCATCAACATGCGCACTGAACTCTAAAGTTGAATCGCATTTTCATTCTTTTTAATGTACTAGTCCCCTTGGCTCTTTCATGAATTGTGTTTTTTTTTTCTTCAAATGTGACAGATGTGTGACAGATGTGGATTCTTTTTGGAGATAAGCAACAAAGTGTGTAGCTCTGTTCAGGATTCATCGTCTTACCTCAGCTGTGTGGAACATTCTACTGTAACAAGTATAATCCCTTGTCATTAAGTTGTTTCTATTGTGTCTCATTTATTAAATTTAGCCACCTATTCTTACTGAACTTTTTTTTTTCTACTCCTGGTAGAGAAAAACAGTGAAAGGATAATTTGTCAGTCACTTATAGACATGGCAGCCCATAGACTGGTGCTGCCTGAAGACATCTTTCTAAACGTGCAAAGCAACACGATACAGGGCTGCTACTCACCTCTCTCCAAAACACAGCTGGAGTGGCAGATCAGCATCAGTGACATTGCAAACAAAGTTGAGACTGAGCAAGCCAAACTCATGCAGGTTAGTCTGATAAAAAGGCCTATATTAATGCATAGTTAACAATTACGACAAAGAGTTGTCATTCCTCTGCACACCTTTGACAGGATGCTGAAAAAGAAATTGAGCAGATGTGTGAAAACTATTCATGGCTGGGGAACATCCACCTGCTTGTTAGCCAGTGGAGTCCAGAATCTTTGGAATTCATGAAAGGTCAGCCTGCTTCTGTGTATGAAGACCACATTAAGAAGCTGCGCAGCTGGGCTGAGAGACTCAGCATGATGGACTCATCTGTCTCCACCTCCAACAGGCTGTTCGTCGTCCATTGTGCGCAGATAAAAGAGACTCTAGGTAAGTTTTTCTCAACTAAAGAGAAAAGCCTCTTTATAGCACTTTTTTTTTTACTTTAAGTTCCCTCTATGAACAAGTAGCAAGATATTGGTTTTTGAACTCTTGGCCTCTAGTTTTGCAGTTTAAAGTTGGTGGACATATGGTAGCACTTATGGTGTAATGACATTTTGATCAGTTATTGTCCCCATAAAGATGATCGTCATTGGATTGTTTAAGGAATCTGTTTCAATAATATTCTGTCCTTCTAATTTAATCCTCCTCTCATTTTCGCTGTGGTTTATTCAGGGCAACAGCTAAGCCTTATAGAGGAGCAAGTGCTAAAGCAGCTGGTGGAGAGGGTGAAACTGCAATCAGGAAGACTCATACAGGACTTGGAGAGGTCTTCTGTTGTACTTAAGACTAGGCCACAAGACTTACATGACCTCTCAAAATATTCCATTATGGTAAAGACACTTTTTAAAATTCTGCATGTGAGGGATTGGAAGAAATGCAATAATAAAAATGGCTTAAAGCAGCATAAAGGAAGACTTAGACATTATAAGTGACCTTTTGTTTACTTTACCTTGAAAAGGTAGGTTGATAGAACATTTGGTTTATTTTAAGGCTTTCCTTTAGTCACATATTCACTAAATTATTCATCTGGAGGTGCTGTAAGAGAAAATGGGTTCTGTACTTAAAGTCCATTATCTAAAAATATTCAGCGCTGCGTGGCCCTGTAAAGTGTACAGTATTGTTTTTACAGGCATAGGAGTGAAAACCCTTTATGCCCAAAGTAGTAGATAGCATACAACTGACTTAAAATGTTGAGGGTGGGAAACCCCCTTTGCAATATCTCCATGCTGTTCTGTCATAGACCCACATGGAAAGATACATTTTTCATACCCTGAGAAACCTGTCATTGGAGGTAGCATATGCAATTTTCAGTGACTAATAAAATGGAACTGATGGTGCAGTGAAAAAGAGGGAAAACTCATCCAATTTCAAATGGTGCTCTTTACTCTGCAGGTGAGGGAAGATGTTAAGAAATTGGCTGACATGCAGAAATGTTTGGAGGACAATCTGTCATTCAGTGACGCTATTTGCATGATCCATAGGCAGCTGACTGATCAGGAGCTGACTTTGCAAGAAAAGGTTTGCTGGCGGAGAAATACAAATGTTCACATCAATGTGTTTTTTTTAAGCTATTTTACTAGCCTACTTTTTATAAATATAACTCTTTGATAAAGGTTCAGATGCAGCTTGTTTAGTATTTGTGTTTCTGCTTGTGTTCTATATTTAGATGTTGGGCTTGTGGGATGCTTTCATTCCCCTCTTGAAGGAAGCAGATAGCTTTGTTTGCCAAAATCTTCCCTCAGTGACAAATGCACTGGACACAATGTTTTCCTTCCTGGCCTGTGACCTCAGAAATGTAGTCTTTAAGGGTAGCTCTGGACTTTTTCTGGACCCAAGCCAGAATCCTAATGAGATGGTTTCCAAACTGAACTACATGTGTGCACACGTGCAAACTATCTGTGAAAAGGTGGAAGAACTTAATCAGAACAGTCAAAACATAAAAGGTAAGCCCTTAAGAGTCTTTGGAAAAAAAATCTCTTTAACTGTTTTCAATAGTGTTTGTGTTTCCTTTTAGAACAAACGATGGATTTGAGCATTTTGACCGTTGATGTTCAAAAGGTCATTGCCCGTAAAGAGCTGTGGCAGCTCAAAGCTGTATGCGCCACATGGCTGGAGGAGTTGAAACTACAGTGCTTCAGTGAGGTAACATGTTAAACTATGTTTTGTAAATGAATATTACACATATTAATGCATCAAACATTTTTTCTCCCTTTCCCCCCCAAAAATGTGTCAAAAGGTTACTTTGCTTCACTTATGAATTGATATACTGCGACTGTGTCATACTGCAGCTCAGCACCTTCCTTCTCTTTATATCTTTTCCGATTGATCTGTCTTCTTTTTTTAAGGTTGTGATGTCGGACGCACTGGAGAAAATTGTCACGTGGAAAGAGGAAGCTCGGGCGTTGATGAATGTTATACCTCCTGAAGATGCAGTCCTGCAGGAGACTTTAGGAATCCTTGAAAACTTATATCATCAAGTTGAAGTTATGGTAAAACTTCAAAGTCCCACACTTGGAGAAGAACACTTGGAAACTATTTTCCAAGGTCAGAGACTGGGCACATTTTGTACTGCATGCTTTGTTTGTGGCCATTACCATATTAATAAATATGAATAATAAATCCCCTCCCTCAGGGATGGGCATTCTTTATGTCCCAGAGAAAAAGGTGACTGTTGCTGATGTCATGTCACAACAACTTTTAACTCACCAAAAGCAAATTGACAGGGTAAGTAAGCAGTCGCAATACATTATGAGGCTACTATGGAAACAGTGAAAAAATAACCTTTTTAGATATTTGCTGTTGAATAGAGGTTGATAAAAAACACATGTACCGCTACCTCTTATTTGACCAGATATGCAGGGACGCACAAACAGAGTGGAGGATGGAGCAAGAGTTCCAAATGCTTCGACTTGGGTGGAAAGACAGACTCTTTCAGTTGTGTGAATTTACTCTTCCTGACGACATGGGTTGTGACTCGCAGAATGGATTAACAGAGACACAGGAGCCCAAAGAAAGCATTAATTTAAATGTACAGACTGAGAGTCAACTCTCCTCAAGTGACGCCAGATTCATCATAAGTGGTGAGACTAATTACAATCTCAGGTCATTGAAATGTAGTCAGTGGAGTCCCAAAAGGTATTTTTACTACTTTGGTTCTTCTGATGGGACAAAAGGTGTAACAGCGATATTCAGCCTCCAAATTGGTGAAATGTATATGGTGCTTTCTTGATCAGATCTAGAAACACATTCTGCCAAGATTGAGAATGATCTGATAGCTCTTTCCACCATGTTGACGTCACGTCACAGTGTTGGATTCCGGAGGCAGCTGGAGGACTGGGTTCGCTCACTACAACAACTCGGTAAAGTATTCCTTAGAAAAGCTTTTAAATGTGGACTATCTATGTAGTTTTCTTTACACAAAAAATAGCAAATATGCCAGAATACAATTAAGTGTTTTTCTTCTTTAAATATCTATAGCGAAGCTGCTTGATTTGTTTGAAAGATTTCAGCAGATGTGGGCCTTTCTGAAAAAGTTATTCACAGAAACATCTTTTTGTGATCAAAGAGTGGATCTGGTATGTCCTGTCTGGTTACCTTCCAAATATAACAGATCCAGTTTTTTAAAAGCACTTTACAAAATATTTAAAGATTTGATGTGTCTTTGTTTTATTTCATAGTTGGGGAATTTCCAAACAGTTGACAAAACCTTTATGGAGTTGATGGACTCAGTATCATCCAACCTCAATGTATTGAACTTTGTTTCCAGTGAGACAAATGGCCGATTTAATGGTAAAAGCCTTTGCCAGATTCTCGGAAATGGTTTGTCTACAATGGAAGCCATCTCAAAACAGATGCAGAATGTCCTTCACACCATCTGTGAGCAGTTTCCAAGGCTCTGGTTCCTGAGTGACTGGGAGGTGATGCAGCTACTATCTTGTCCTCCAACACCTTTAATGCTACAGCCTTTTGTACGTAAATGCTTTAAAGGAGTGTGCTGGCTTGAAGTTGACAGTGAAACCTCTACTGCAAAAGATGTACAGAGTTCTGGGGTTTTATCTGAAAACCAAAGACAGTTGAAGGTGTTGGGGATTTTTGGCAGTCTCCAGGAACACATTGCTTTTGAGCCCCCTTTAGAACAAAATCCTAATGCCTTAGTTTGGCTGAGTGCCTTTGAGAACCAGTTGCGGCTGACCATGGCAAAACTCACAAAACAATGTGCTGTGCTGCGAAACAACCTCAAGCCTTACAGTCAAGATTCGTCAATAGAGCGGACAGTTATGAGCATCCGGCTCTGCTACCCTGACAGGTTGGAGGATACACAGCCTGAGTTGGATCTGCTTTCTGAATATCCTCTTCAGTGTCTGCTGGTGGCCGAGGAGGTATGTTGGTGGGGCATTGTTCTACAGGCCTCCCAAGAAAAGAATCCACTGAAATTGAACAAAATCAAGGCGCATATTTCTAAGAAACTGAAAAATCTGGGCAACATTATTAGGAACACAGTCATTGGCTCTAGAAAAGAATCTCTGCTCTCCAATTACAAAATGATGTGTTTGCGTGCTTTAGTGCAGCTGACAATGAAGCATGCAGAGCAGCTATCCCGACTAATGGATTTACCATGTGTGCTGGAGTCATCTTTTGAGTGGCTGAGCTTGATGAAGTATCATATTAACACAGAAGATCGGCCTGTAAAAGGCAATGATAACCCAACTTGTTATGTTGATGTTTTAGGCCATCATGTTCCATATGGCTTTGAGTATTATGGACCGGACGACTTGGCAATGCTGCACTCCCCCTCCACAGATCAGGCAATACTTGGGATTGTCCTTGCTCTTACAAGCTATAAATCGGGGTTTGTGAATGGACCTTCCATGTGTGGAAAGACAACGACTGTAGTTCAGTTAGGAAAAGCATTTGGACAACAGGTTGTTGTTAAACAGTGTTACCCAAGCTTGACATCTTGTGCTGTTCAGCAGATGCTACTGGGTTCCCTTCAGACTGGAGCGTGGCTTCTGCTGGACTCTGTGGACTTATTGTCACAAGGTGTCCTGTGTTTTCTGGGACAGCTTCTTGTAGACATACACCAGTCATTTTTTAGGTTTAAACAAAATGAGAATCAGAGACTGAAAGATAATACACCTACTGAAAGGATCAGAGATGGCACAAACATTTGTGATCTGGTATGCCATATTGAAATCTTAGGGAAAAGTGTCCCTGCCAGCCCAAGATATGGATGTGTTCTCATCTCATCAAAGGGGTATACAGCCAGGATGCAAGAGAGTCTACGATTTGCAACCAGACCCATTTCATTAGCACATCCAGACAGCAAGATCATTGCAGAAGTGCTGCTGACCTCAAGTGGATTCTCAGAAGCCATGCCTCTCAGTCACCGTCTGGTGTCCTTGGTTAGCCTAGCCAAAGATTCAAACTGTTTACCTGGTTTATCTCCAAAGGATCCAAGCTGCATTCTCTGTGTCTTGCAAAAGATCATCTCTGCCTCAGAAATACATTTACATCATGCTCTTTGTCAGCGGGATATTTCAAACCAGGCTACAGCCTCAGGCGGCACGTGTGTTGATTTTTCAGAAAATGTCCCTGACCGGGTGTTAGAGAAGAAAGACGAAGAAGCTGCAAAGCGTTCAACATTCCGTGGTCCCCACCTCTTAGTTATACAGGCTTTGATGGAGGAGACAGCTGTTGTAAAAGCAATTCATTCTGTCTTGATTCCGGAGAACAACAAAGCCTCGCAATTTTACATCATTTTCAAGGATACGTTCCCCATAGCAAGTCAGTTCCCACTTCCCCAACAATGTACTGAAGAGGGAGAAATTTATCAACTTCAAGATATGATGAAAGAACAGTTACAACAAACGCAGCTTCATTGTGACAAGGAAATAATTCACACTGCTCTTACACTCCATCAGGCCCTGAAGTTCTCTCAGGCAGTCATGCTCGTCGGCCCTGCAGGTAGCGGGAAGACAACCTGTTACAGTATGTTGGCTGGGGCTCTCAACAGGCTGGCCTCCAATGAAGTCGAGTATGTGTTCGAGAAAGGGAATATTTGTAAAAGAGATACTTCAAAGGCGGATTCACAGATCTCGGCTATGAACTGGCATTCTATTGACACTTCGATCATATTTCCTAATGCCATGTCCCACAATGAGCTGTTTGGCTACTTCTGTGAAAAAGAAGGATGGAAAGATGGAGCCATCGCAAAAGTGCTAAGACAATGTGTTCGTAGATATTCTGAGACTGGCTACACTAAAAGAAAAGATGACAAGACTTCAGCAGTAAAGTGGCTGGTGATGGATGGAGAACCAGCGGGACAACCTGGCTGGTTAGATTACCTAACCACACTGTGTAATTCTCAGGATCCATTTCTGTGTCTGTCATCGGGTGAAACGTTGCGGCCTCAATCACACTTCAGTCTAATCATGGAGATCAGTGACCTGCGAGATGCAAGTCCATCTGCAGTGACCCGCTGCAGCCATGTATATTTCACAGGTACCACTCTGTGGAAGGCTGTGTGGAGAAGTGAAGCAGATGCTCTAGCTTTGGAATACAAATTGGATCAAAGAATCCTAAAGATGTGGAATCGTCTGGCCGATGACCTTTTCTCTGCCACTTTAAGTTTACTTGGACAACATGCTTTAAGCTCTGCCAACCATTTTGAAAGAGGATGTGGTGACAGATTTGGTCTGCAAGAAATCATGTCGCTTGTTAGGATCCTGCGTGCTTTCCTGCAACATTCTGCGAAGCAGTTGGAAAACCTGAAAACGATACCACAAACAAGAAACCAAGGTATGACAATCATCATTGATGAGCTGTCAACGTTGTATAGACATCTGACTTGAATCCAACCTGAGTAAAGGTAAACCCTAACCCTTACCTTCATGTGTTGTGTATGTTTCGACACCCCATGCATAGATCCCCAAAGTAAACAAGAGTTACTCACCAGAAATCTCTTCCTGGTGGCTTACATTTGGGGATTTGGTGGACATCTGCATTCTCGGTAAGAAAATCTATGTGGATGTAATTAATTAGATTGTGTGCATGTTATGTTATGTTTAATTTCTATTCTACTACAAAATTTAAAGTTCTAATAATAATTCTTCTTTCAGTCACTGGCCTCAGTTTGAATTGTTAGCCCGCCAGGTACTGCTTACTTCTCGATACAAAATTGAAGTTCCTGATGAAGAGAGCATTTTTGAGCACTTTTTTGGCATTGACAGTAAGATGTGCCCCATGAACACACAGCTGACCAATTCCATCATTCCCAAGGTTAGTATTCAACATTAAATCCACCATTTTTTATGGATATAATCAGTATACTGGGTTTATTTCTTAACTGTATTCACACAGTATGGGAAGTACAGGCGTCTCCTGAACCTCATGTTGGAGGCAAATCAACCAGTGTTGCTTGCGGGAGAACCTGGTTCTGGAAAAACCACCTTGTGCAAAAGTTTGCTAAGCTTTGACAAGCCACACATTCAGTTATCTGCTAGTCCACTCCTGAGCTCCAGAGAGCTGCGCATTATACTGAACAGCATCTGTAGCCAGAGGAAAAGTGAGGACTCTGCAGGTTCCATGACCAAACAGCCTGGCCTGCTCCTCTTTGTGGATGATTTGCATGAAGCCCCATGTGGTAAGAAAGATAAATATGGTGAGGAGCATTTACATACAATATATTTTTCATTTCATTGACTGTGACATGGATGTGTATGTCTGTTAATGATGACAGATGTCTTTGGGAAAGCGTCCATGGCTCTGGAGTCTCTACGTCAGAGTATTTCAAAAGGAGAGATCCTGACATTTGACAACTACTTCTTAAACTCACTGAGCTCTAGAAGTGTCAGCTATTTGACTGCCTGTGGAATCGCAGGACTCGGAGATTGCTTCAATAATGTGATATCTCCCCGGCTCTCACGTCTGTTTTCTATCTTTGTGCTCCCTAGCCTATCTGAGGACGTTTTATTTTCCATCCATTCTCCATGGCTAAAAAACTGGTTCAAAGAAATTCCTCAAAAGCACAGCTTGGAGGACATGTTAGAGGGTATTATCACAGCTACTAAAGACCTGTACCGTATGGTCCGTGAGCAGTTCCAGACCACTGCACTGAGGCCGCAATTTAGATTCTCCCATCACGACATTCAGAAGGTGTTTTTGGGGATGTCCCTTTGGCAACCAGGCAGAAATCTACAATCAGATTCTCCCGCAGATCTCTCAGGTCCTCCTGCATCAGTTCTTCACATTGTGCATCTGTGGATGAATGAGAGCATGCGTACTTTCAGTGACAGGCTCTGCTCAGAGGATGAAAGAAAAACATTTTTGTCACTCTTAGTCAAGACAGCAGCAACCCACTATGGAGGTGAATTGATTGATGAAAGTTTAGATGAGATAGCCACTGACAGGAGCCCTACTGCTCACACTCTACCTGCGGATACTGCATGCACCATGCATGCAAATCAGAGCCCTGATGCAACAAATCTGCTTCAACTCAAATCAGCTAGTAAATCACATTCACTGGAAGAGACAGAGCCTTCTCTTCAGTTTGAAAGTTGTTGTTCAGACGATGCAGGCTTAAACACCAAAGCTGTGAAGCCACAGATTCTTCAGCATTTGGAGGAAATTATGTCAAGACTTGTGTTTGGACCCGAGTCCTTTGAGATCCTGAAGTCAGTCAATCCGTCGCGCAAACTTAAAGATGAGTGGTCTTATAAGGAGCATGACCTTGATGTACTTCAGCAACAGCTATGTGCAGTCATGAATAGAAAAGAGGAAGATGAAAAAAGTAAAGATAATAATGTCAGCAAAGTAATTTCCAGATACTTTGTACACAGACAGGGGGTGGGTCAGTTGCTGCACATTCTCCGAGCTTTGCTCATACCTGGAGGCCATGGGTTGCTCTTAGGCTCAGGCAGAGGAACAGGTCGTAAAACTGCTGTACGCTTAGCTGCCTGGCTCACAGGCTATCAGTTGATGGAAGTACATTCCAGCAATGAAAATAATTTGCATGGAATGCTGATGGAGGCTGGGAGTCAGTCAAGAGTTAATGGAATTAATGTCATCATACTGGTCCATGAGGAGATCAGTCCGCTCATCAGAGAAGAATTATTAGTGTCAATGGCCCAGAGCACCTACCCGGCGCTTCACACAGAGGACGAGCTGAGGAATCTTGTTTTCAGGGTGACAGCTGTGAGACACCCAAGAAGACACCTCATGGACAGTTGGTTAAGTGAGAAGTAAGAGACAATGATGGATAAATGTGTTTACAAAAATGAGCTTTCCATAGATTTGTATTATATATCTTCATTTATTAAATATTTTAACAATATTATATGTGAGCACATTGTTGTTTATAAAAGGTCTGCTCCACAGAAATGTCCATGTGTTTGTGTTGATGCCTCAGACCGCATCTTACAGCGGCGAAATGTCCGTCGACAGCGAAACACAAAGTCTGAGTGTGAGTCAATCTCTGAATGACCACTGAAACGTCAAACACATCATATTATGAACCATTTGGTAACATCTGCTCCTTTCACACTGCAGCCACAGATGCAGAAGGCTCTGAAGCTCAGCTGCTGTGTGGAGGTGTACCAACCCTGGTCCAAGCAATCTTTGATGGAAGTTGCTGTTCAGTGCCTCACAGTCCTTCCCCATGAAAGTGAGTGACAACACTAAAGTTTATTTACAGTATCCTTGACTTGTTACTTCTTTATCCACACAGGGTTGTTGTAGACTCTGCTAAGACATGCTTCCTTTGTCTTTTTGTACCATTAAGTTGCTCAGTTGGGTTCAAAGGACAGCCAGTCGGTGGTCATGGCCGGAATCCATCAGTCTGCTTGTCAGTATGCTTCTGTGTTTTTAAGAGTCCAGCCATTCACCCCTCACACTTATCTGGAGTTCATTGCCCACTATGGTTCCTTGTGCAGCCTACTCCACCAACAATGGCAGAGCAAAAACAAAAGGTAGCTGTTCTAAAGAAGAATCTTCATTATTATTCTTTTGAAATCTGAACATTTAATATTTGTCATGCTGATATATTTGCGACGGTATATCTGGAAGCTTGTTTTGCCCTAACTTATCCTTTATTCTGCTTTCATTGACTAAATGTTTATGTTTATGTTTATAAATGTGTATGTAAAGTCAATTTTTGTATTTTTTCCAGAATTACCTCTGCACTGGCTCGTTTGGATGTCTTGAACAATACAGCTCAGCAACATGAACAGCACTTACTAAGGCTGCAAAAGAAGGTTGCTGAGACCCAGCAGGTAATGTAGAACAAATAGATAGACGTCATATCACTGGGATGAATGTTTTATATGTCTGCCCAATAATTGTTTCTAATAGATTTTTCACTAAATGTTTATTTGTGTTAATTGTTTTTCTGACCTACTGATATACATATCTTTCTATTTTCCTTTCATAATATTCCTGAAGCATGAGAAAGACCTCCTCAAAGCTGTACAAAATAAGACAAACCTGTTTGAGAAAACCTTGGAAAAATATGTTGAAGAACGGAACAATCTGGATTACCTTGAAAACCAGAGTAATCAAGCTGAGAAACAGGTCTTTTTTCAAGTCCTAAATATTACTAGTACTAAAGCCTTTCTAATTACATTTTTATTCACCATGCTCTAAACTTTCTGATAACTGATAATTATCCTGTTTCCTGTTTCCCTAGATAAATTCAGTGTTTGTGTCAGCTATCAATATTCTGAAGTGTTTGAATCCATCTGACCTGGAGGAGGTACGCCACTACAGAGACCCACCTGATGGAGTAGTGAAGATCATGGACGCCATATGCTTGCTCTTTAACCGTCCACTGGGCTGGGAGAGTGCCAAGCAACTTTTCAGTCAGTCAAATTTTTTCCAGGTGTGTGAAAAAAGCAAACAAAATGATGATAATACATAAGTTAAGAAAGTTATTTTCTGGAGTTGCCGTGATAATCAGTCTGGGAATTAAATGGTTAAACTATTAATGTTTTTTTAAAACTCTTTAGGTTTTTTTAATGCATCAGTTATTGATTTTTTGTGTTTCTTTCTCTCATTCCAAGGAGCTGGAATTTCTGGACCGCAGCAGACTGACAAATGAGAAACTCCAGCAGCTTGGACAGATAGTGCACAGTCCTCAGTTTGTTCCAGAGTCTGTGCGAGAAGTCAGTAAGGCCTGTGAGTCCTTGTGCCGATGGGTCCTGGCTGTGTATGAGGCATGCTCTGTGCAGCACCAACTGGTGGGAAAGCAGCAGTTAGAGGTCCTGGCTGGAAAGAGTCGAAGGCGACTTCATTTGGCCTTGAAGTGCAAAGACGATGCTTACAAACGTTTAGAGGATGTTAAGTCTCAGCTTCAGTTCATACAAAAAGAGCTGGAGGACCAGCTGCTTCAGCTGCACACGGCTGAAAAGCTAACAAGAGAAGCTACTACATGTGCTGAGCAGTTGGTGATGCAAGTCAGAGACTGGAGAGCTGCTTGTCTGGTAATGTGAAATTGAAAAATAATGGCACTGAGACATACTCCTGAATTTTTCTATGTATAATATTTTTTATCAGCAGGATTTAGATTTAGATTTAGCTTTTCCTTTTCTTTTTTCCCCTTCAGGAAGCGGATTTGTTTCGTCAAAATGTTCCGGGGGACGCCATAATCCTGGCTGCAGTCATGTCGTATTTAGGCCCCTTTGGACCTGATGTTCGCAGAGAATTGATGAGCAAGTGGAGAGAGCTGTGTCAGACAGGGAGCATCAATATAAACCCCCAGGACCTCAGAACATCTCTGTTCCCAAACATAGACTCTGAACCCATTTCTCCGTCTCATGGTTTTCCCATTACTGTGACTGAGAAGATGCATTTACCAATAAGTCAGATATTAGGGATGAAAGAGTGGCAGCTTGAGAACACTCAGTCTGACCGATTGTTGGTCAAGCTGTTGCTATGGGGCTACAGATGTGAATTTGTTCAACACTGGCCTCTCCTAGCTGACACCGAGCAATATTTAGCAATGAGCTGTCAAAACCGGCTCATCACAGGTACGCCCTTTCATTAAGTTCACCCTTTGAAATATTGATTATAGATATTAGGAAATGGCATTCTCTGTGTTAGTATCTATTCAATCTGACCAAGAAAAATCCTTCATTCATTTACTGTATTAGCATTAGAAGAATCAACATCAGGAGTAAAAATCCAGCTAAATGGCTTCCCTTTTTCTCACAGATTTTATTTGATATTAGCTCACATTCTTTACATTGTGATACATTTTTTTTTAAACATGATTAAGTTGGAATTCTGAATAATTTTAAAAACGCCTTCAGAACTGTTTGTGACCTCAGGGCATGTTACATATCTGCTCCACAGGAGAAAGTGCAAAGCTTGAGGAAGAAATAGGATTTGAGCTGGTTGTTTGTGTGGATGATCTGGAGCTCCTGAGCAAGCTGGACCAAGCTGCTGAGAAAGGTAAATTAGAAGAAGCTGGACAAGAAAAAATCTGGCGCTTTGTACATTTTTTGTTCAACAAGCGTTTTGTGTTTACAAAAGTGTTTTTTATTGGCCAACATCATGTAAACCTGTTGTTTTCAGGATGGAGAGTTCTGGTTACTCATGTGGAACGTGCAATTCCCAGTCCTGAGTTACTGTCAAAGTTGGTCCGCCCTGGTGAATGTTGCTTTCCAGGATTACGGCCTTCTCCTCAGATGGTTCACCCTGAGTTCTGCCTCTTCCTCAGCACCCATCTGCCTGTTAGACTACTTAGCAGTGGTTAGCAGCTCAGTTACACTTGTCTTACCTATATTTTTTTAATCACCAATTTGAATTGATTGTTTTTATAGATAATCAGATTATGGAAATATTTACTTTCTTACATTGACTCATTTCAATGAACAAAGGAAATAGACGGTGTAAAATAACCTCTCTAACTCTCTCTTACTCTTACTACTCTTACAATTTTGTGTCCTAGAGATCCATCCATCCATCTTGGCTCAGGTCCATGTAGTTGACCTCTCTCTAAGCTCAGAAGAGATCCAGGGGCTGATGCTGACACAGCTAATACAATCTCAGTGCAGAGGGCTGCTGATGCAACACTTGCAATGCCAGAATTACAATCAGTTGCTGCAGCACAAACTGGTCATGGAAGAGGTGAATAGAAACAGCTTCTGAATAATTTTAAGTTCTAACTGTAATTTTTATTGTTTTTTATTGTTATTTTGTTTTTTAAATGTGGGTGTGCTTGAGTGTTATTTGTACATTTTTAGTTCAGCTTTTGTTGTGGGTTAAAGTAGAATACAAATTACTTTGCTACATACTGTGTCATGAAAATGTAATATTTCATGTTCATCATGCCCTGTGATTCTTTATGTCTCAGGATAATTTGATGGAGTTTATCCTGCAGTCTGACACCTTGCTGCTGAAAGACTCAGACTTTCTTTCCCGTGTGGTTGTTCACCAAGAAGAGATGCAGAAACTACAGGCTGAGAGGAAGCAGCTGGGGGAGGAGCTGGAGTACCACGAGTCTTTGCTGGCTGCTCCGCGGCAGTTAATGAGGCTGGCTGCTGCCCTTTACGAGGCTCTGCAGGCTGTGTCTTGCCTCTCTCCTGCCTATTACTTCTCCCTACATGGCTTCATGTCCGTGATGCATGAGGCTTTCAGTGTTGAGGGCAGGCCATTAGTGTCACATACAACAGGGAAAGGAGCGGAGTGCATGCTACCAGAGATTATGAATACGATGGTTCTCCAGCTGCTGGTACAGTACAGGCCTTGTCTCTTCAAAAGCCATGCTGCTGTTCTAAAGCTGCTGGTTTGCTTGGCTCTGCTCAAGCACAATCAGCTTTGCTCTGAGGCAGAGAGGATGGCCTTTCTCAGGGGTCTTGATGACACAGAGCATCATGTAAGTGCGGGAAAGCCCTTCAAGTTTTCTGACACGGCTTCATATACCACAAGTTCCATACCCAGCTGGATACCCCCTCATGTCATCTCAGAGCTGCTCTGCCTGGAACAGATCCCAGCCTTCAGAGGGCTTATTTCCTCACTCTGTGCTTCGCCCATGCAGTGGCATGAGTATCTACATTCCCCTACCACTGCTGTGGCAGGAGCTGTCTCCTGTCTTTCCCACTCACACCTGTCCTTGCTGCAGCGTGCTCTTCTCTGGAAGACTATGATCCCAAACTGCTTGGAGGAATTAGCAGACATCCTACATGACTGTCTTCTCTGTCTGTCACTAAAGACAGAACGGACTGAGTACCCTCACACTGGCAATCCAGAGACTCTCTCAAAATATGTAGAGAAATATGAAGGACCCATAATTCTTACAATGTCCAATCTCGAAGAAGATTTGCCGACAAGCATTACGCCTCTTCGTTTGATTAATCAATTGGCCGACTGTGTTGCCAAAACAAATGAGGTAACGGAATTACCTAATATTTTGTAATTACTTCAGCCTAATACTGCTATTTCAGTGCTTGTTGTTCCTTTTCACATCTTTTAGGTTGAGGTGCGGGTCATCTCTGTTGAGACAATGTGGAACACTGGAGTTATCCTTTCAGTAATGGATGAAGCCAGTCGTGATGGCCACTGGCTGGTTTTCAACAACTGTCAGCTGTTGGAACGCTGGGACGGTGAAGTGAAGACTCACCTCAGTCAGCTGACCGCCCCCTTCAAAGGAGAGCAGCACACCAAGAGTCAGTTTAAACTGAAACTGACTCATTCATTATTGCAGACAAAAACTTGCAACCAAAGTGAATATAAAATCAACCTTTCTTTTTTTTTATCTCAGAAGAGCAGTTGCTGATTCATCCACACTTCCGTCTGTGGTTTGTCACCAGGGAAAATGCTTCACACTTTATACCAGGTAGATACTGTGTGTTGTTACTGTTATGTCCTTTAACTGCAGATCAGGGCACTTACATTCTCTCCTGGAAGAAGAATAGAGACATTGTTATGAATGTCCATTAGCGATTGAGTTCATGTACTCAAAATTAATTATAGTGGTTTAATCAAAACATTAAACCTTTTTTTTCTGCAGGCGCTGTGCGGATCTGTGCCCTGCATCTGGTCTGTGACTCTCCCTGGGACCTGAGGGAGGAGCTGTGCTCTTCTTTACAACAGGTGGTGTCCGTCAGCCAGCATCAATGCCCGTCAGCCGTCATCACCCGCAACACAGAGCTGATTCTCCGCTGTGCCATTTTCCACTCTCTGTTGCTGCAGAGACAGACTTATAAATATTTAGGCTGTGGAAGAATCTATCATTGGTAAGGAAATAGGTACAGTTATTGTACACTGTGGAAAGAAAGGTGAAACGATTCAATCTAAAAATATTTGGAAACGTGTCAAATCTGTGACAGCGGACATTATTTTTATTCCTACTTTTTTATTATTGTGGGTTTATTTTCCGTGATATTGAAGGAATCAGGAGGATCTCTTTGCATTAGTGGATGCCCACATTTCCATCGCAAGTCCCTGCTGTAACAGGACTAAGGCTTTGCAGTTCATAGCAGGTAAGGCTGTTTGAAATGAAAAGCCTTAATAAATCAGTGAATGCAAATTGCATTTATGCTGTTTTTCTTCTGCTTCTAGTTAATCTAGTGCATGGTGGCCATGTAATGGATTCTGAAGATTTAAAGGTGGTTGAGAGCATTGCCAGAACTTGCTTCTCCACAGGGTCATCTATTTTGGACAGTTGTCTACACATCCTTTCAAATTTTCAAAGCAACTGTGACAGTTTTGGTAATCAGATGGCTCTGAATTTATATTTTGTGTACACGCAAGTCAACATTGACATACACAGAACATATGGACACATTAAAGATCTTTCTATGTGTTTACATTCGGTTCTGTGTACAAGAAGTATTTATTTGTTTTGCTTGTCTTTTCTCCTAGATTTGTCAGGATTATTGAGACTTTCGGAGCAATGTCTTGAGGATACGGCAGAGCCTGTTCTGCTGGGCTTTGGTGTTGATGTGGCATCTGAAATGACCCGGATCAACAGCCACAGCATTAAACTGCTACTGAAGGCTTCTCAAAATCCTCTTGGATATTTGAGGAGTTTTAGCACCAAACACGAACAGCTTGCCAAACTGCCACCTTACAGGCATGCAAAAGAAAGAATCGAGGCTCTGAAAAGTCACCTCACGCACAAGACAAACAGCACACTTGAATACGAGGGAACTGTTTCTCGCAGTCCCCTTCGTGACTTCCTCCTCGCGGAATGGGATGATCTCACCGATTCGGTGTCCTCGCTTGTCTCACAGCTTCAACAGCCTGTTGAACACCTGCTGTCCGTCGCTTCAGTCTTAAAGTTCACTAACTTGTCTCAGTTGGAGAGGAGGGCTGAATTGCTTAGAGCCTATCTCTGGGACGACATTATTTCAGATCCACCTGGTGCCTATCGACTGTCAGCTTTTAAAAATGCCCGAGCCTTCCTCATAGCAGTGATGAGAGAGGCCGCGCAGATCAATTACAAATACATCAGTGATATAACGCTGCAGTTCCAGGTAAGGCAAACAAATGGCTTCATACTGAAATAATTTTGTTTTGGAACCCTGTGAATAGTTTGTTTGTTTTTGCAAATATTAGCAAATAATTACTGTTCTTGTCCCTCCAGGTTCTGCCTGACATCCCATACCCAGGCTCACTTCCTCAAAGTGCTGTGTATTTATGCGGTTTGGATCTGAAGGGTGCATCATGGGATACACAAGAAGAAGCCCTGCAAGAGGCTCTCTCCCCTCAGCCATTTCCAATGCCTCTTATTTGTGTCAAAGCTAAAGTCAGAAGTAAAAGCAGTTCCGAAGAAAATTTGTCTCCTATAAGTTCATATTTAAAAAACACAAGCAACGTTGATGCTGCAGTTCTTTCCCCATTAACTGCCACACAGTTACCAATCTACCACTGCCCACTGTATTTACATGAGGAGTGGGAGCATGGATGCTGGGGACTGGCTGATTTTAACGTTATCACGAAAGTCCCTCTTCATACCACACTAAATCCTGATTTGTGTACCATGAAAAGAGTGCGACTACTGAGTAACCTCTGACTGCTTTGAGCTGCTGTCTCCTGCTTTGATTCATCTAACTGACACTGCAATGGATGCTTCTGTTCATTACACAGCCTGTACATATTTGTTGATGCCTAGATTGATGTTTATGGACTTTTTTAAACTTAAGAACAAATAAACTTGTGATGACACCACATTGTCTGTTATTTTCTGTTTTTTGTGATTCCTTGAAATTACACACACACACAGACATATATATAGTTATATTTGCATCCTCCAAAAGCAAAGTATTAATGAGTGTTTTCTTCTCTTGTAGGTAACATGGACAGGCATCACTATGAAACTTTTGAGAAGTTTGGCAACGACACCTTTCTGCTGCACCTTGACAACGGCAGGGCGTGAGTGTGCTGACATTAACGATCATTCTGGAATTGTTTTTATTTCTCATTTGTTGCTACTTTGATTGTGATTATGGGTTTAATGTCACCTCAGATTTGGGCGTCACTCCAAAGATGAGCTTTCCATCTTAGTCCCTCTGGAACAGTGCTGCAGGTATCCAATGAGATTAAATAGTGTGAATAATTCTTAATGTTTCAGCTCCTTTCAAAGTAGCCAATTATGTAAATATTAATTGCATTAGGTTTGGCCAGAGACAGCGATAACTTCAGTTAATTCAGTTAATTTTGTGTGATACTTTTTTATGTCCGTAAGTCATGACAAAAAAATAAATAAATAAGGTGAATATCAACATATTCTTACTATGAAGAACTTAATCCGATACTGGTGAAAACTGGGTTTACTTTGGAAAGTTTATAAAAAAGTGAAACTCAAATTTTATCCGAACCAAAACATGCTGTCTCATTTTTGCTTTTTAATAATAATTATCTAGTCCGTTTGCTCACTTTCTAACCGTTCCATCCTGTCCTTCTCCCTCCACTTATCTGTTTCGCTTTGTTCTTACTGTAGAATCCGTCGAACCACTTTGTTACGTCTCCGCCTCCTGTCTTCGCCTCAGTATCATATCAGTGATGTCATGAGGGCCTCGCTGTCCCGTGATCCCCTTCACAAGGTGGCCCCACTGCTGGCCGAGCCTCACCTTGCTGCTCTCAGTAGACGTTTGAAAACTGTGCTAGAGACTGTAAGTCAGTGCCAAAAGAAACAGAAAGAGAGTGGCGATAGTGAAGACGTTGTCTATGACGACCTCGCCCACTTAAAATAGAGGTGTATTTAGATGGAGCAACTTCATACCTCCTTATTTATACATGGTGCCTGACATGAATGCCAAAACCAAAGTGTTGTTATCCAGTTACCATATTATGTCATCTTAATTGAAAATATTATATCATTGCAAATGAACTGGATTGAATACAGCTAATTTGGTCTTTTACAGGTATTTCTTTTTTGTTGATATTGTCTGTGATTTGTTATTTAAATACAGTTCAAAATTACTTTGTTTATTTCCTATATTATTTCCTTTCATTAAAAACTATAATGATTTTCCTCTGTAAGTAGTTTCATCATATGGTTTCGTAGACTTAATTAATTCACAATAAATAGCAGTTTGTAAAATGGGTCTTTTCATATTTTCACAGTGTTCATTCCACCACATATTTTTCTGATTACTAGTTTACCGCAAAGATCTTTTGAATAATATTTAAAATGATGAACAGAATAACTTTTTTCCAAAGGTTAAAAGTCACCGAATGTTAGGTAAAGCCAGAAAATATTGATTGTCATAATGCTTCTTTTTTGTCAATGGGGGTTGTTGCCACAAAATATCAATATAAGATTATTTCCTCATTTGTGATTTAGATAATTGGCAAACGTTTTCCTGTAAATGATAGCAATCATACTGTACCTTAAAATATTCATCACATGATAAGTAAAAAGTTGATAGATAAACTTTGTGGACTTTTGATAAGATAAGACACAACATATCTGAGGAATCTTCCTATTTAAATAACTTAACCTGAACAGAGCTAACTCTTGCAATCGGAGGTATTTTTAAACAGGATCAACAACTTCTGTTTCACTTTTCAAAACCTCTGGTCTTACATCACTATGTTGGATAATTATGTGACCCATAAACTCCACTCATGTGTAGCATGGTACAGAAAATAACTGAAAAAAGGCCTTAATTAAAAACAAATTTTGAAATTTTTGAAGCCGATATAAGTACAAAGAGCATTGAAACAGAGGAAGAACAAAGTAACATATAAAAATGACCATAAATGATCTAATTTCACAGATAAACAAATACAGCTGAGCCGGGCTGATGATGCATTTTTTCAAGCCTTTAACACCTGCACTGGGCCTGGCAGATGAAGCAAAAAATGCTTTTTTTCATGAATGTGCACTTCAGGTTTTGCTTTTAAATGGCAACAAAGAGAATAACTTCATGTTTTTAGAAACTCTCTTCAGGGTCTGCTTGGACAGAACCGTGCATGTCATGGAGCTGTTGCTGAGCATGAGGATGTTTTTCAGGTGAATGTTTCAACAACTAGTTAATAATACAGAAAATAGAAGCAATTTATAAGGTACCTGATAGGCAAGGGTGTTGTCATCAATTTAATGACTGTTTTAAAAAAAAAATGTTTTTCTTGTAGAAGGAGACAAGTAGCTTTCTTTTGAAGACAGCAGCTAGTTTTGCTCGATCAGAGGTCCATCCTTAGGTGTGAACCTCCACGTCACAGCTAGTTGGGCAGCTGGCTTTCCTCCTTTTCTTTCAGGTCACCAATTAATTATTCATCTGGTCATATCGATACCACCTACTCCCTTTTCTCTTCTCTGCACATGCTTGCTCGCTCTTTCCATGAAAACAGCCGATGACAAAGGGGTAAAAGGGCTCATTAGTGGATTATTGAAAACGAGAGAGGGAGGACAGAGCTATCATTCTGTCACATAGGGGTTGTAAACTTTGGATTAAGAGCAGAGCAGAGCGAGTGGGACTGCAGTGAAAGTGACTTTCCTGGGACGCCGTTGGGAGAACGCCTGAAGAAGCCTTGAAGGAGTTTGAATGGGATGACAAACTTTTTAAATATCTTTATTCTGTCTTTGACACTCTGATATTTTTTTCAAGTTCATATTTACTTTTATCTAAAAAAAAAAAAAAACCATGTCAGGAGTCAGCAGTGACCAGCTGCACAAATCGACTTTAGGTGTCTACTCGGTGAGTTTCTGATGTGAGCTTTCTTTGTTTCGTTGATTTGTGGTCACGGCGTTGAAATATGGCAGGTGCCATTTTTGGACATGACATTGTTTCTTGTTGGTTGCTCCGTATGTGTGTGTATGTAGAACCTGATAGAGCACTTCAACCCAGGTCTTCAGAAACTCGCTGCACTTGGAAACAGCTACGTTAAGGCTTTCCAAGGTAAGCATGTTAGTGTGTGTCTGGCTGGAAATCAGGTTTTAGCTCTGCAAAGTTGTTTCATATAGTCTGCCTTTTTCTTTTTGGGGGCTGAATATAAGACTCAGTATTTGGACTTGTACTTTCGTGTAACACGTTGCTTTTGTTTCACTTCCTGTTTATGTTTCAGTTGTGATCATATGTTTAAATAGCTCATTAGGTCAGTATCTTGCATCGTTATACACCTCTGCCTCACACAACAAGAATAGGCCATCAGTCACTAGGCGGTGTGGTAACATAATAGTCTCTGGCATGTTGCTTTTCCTAGATTAGAATCACATATCACTTGTCACCACTGCAAGGCTTGTGTTCCTAATGAATAAAAGCAGTAATGATCGGCCAAATAAAAAATATTGTGGAAATATGTGATGCCACTGAAGTGTTCATAAATACCTCTATTGAATTTGTAAGGATTTCTTTTCAAAAGCTGCACTTTGACGTGTATCTACTGTAGCCTTGGCTGTCTGCAGTGAGGCATACTTCAGCGCGGTGGCTAAGATGGGTGAACAGGCCCTTCACACCTTTTCATCTCGTTCTCTTGGTAAGAGTGTCTGGATGAACTTGTTACTGATTTCTCAACATGTTTAAGATTTATTGTATTTGTTACATCAAAAAACTATCTGGTCCTTTGGTGGGTCCAATTTGCTGTTGATGGTTAATCACTTATGGATATACCATACCTACATATATGAAGTATCACACAAACCCAGCAGCTTTACTGTTTTCTTCTTCATATTTATGTTTCTGTGTTCATTCACATGAGCCTATGCTATATTTGTACATATATTTTCAGTAAGCTTTACTTCAGCCAGTCAGTTTACTTCATTATTTGCCCGCAATATCAATGACCATTAGCATTTTGCTAATATTTCCCCATTGAGTGTAAGAGCTAGCTCAGCATACTAAACATGGTTCTCCTATATTGGCTAACTGCCAAGGAGCCACGGCGTGACCAGAAACCTTATTAAGTAGCGGCCCTTGAAATATAGATGAGGACAGTCGTTCAGCTGCACTCAGTTCATTAACTCAGCTACAAGTGACATGATCAGTCACTGAGTCACTTACAATGTAAATGCTTAATTGACTTTTTTTTAGCAACTAACTTGATGACTTGAGTCGTGACAATTTCTAGAACCTAGAAACTTTGAGATATTCTGTTAAGCATTGTGTGCAGTTTCACTTTCCTCGATTATAAACATTTTTACAGAATGTTAATATTTACAGCATTTAGACCATGTCCAGAACATCATAGCTTCAAACTCGTAGTAGAAATTCTTTGTTGCGTGAATTTGATCATCTGCCGATCTTTAAAGTCTGTTTTTTGCTCGGAACAGGTGATGTCTTGATCCAGATTTCAGAAACACAGAGAAGACTCACTGCAGAGATGGAGGGGGTGGTTAGTTAATCTCTGTAGTACATGAAAAATACCTGCTTTAGAGAGAGCTGCTTGACTGAGGTAGCTTTTGTTGGCCTATGAAGCAAAGTATGGCTAAACAGCTTGCATGATGGAGAATCATCAAGGGTGCAGTTTTCCTACTGATTTGGTTACATCTCAGGGACATTGTCTTTTTTTCTGATTCAGTTTCAGTGGTTCCAAATTGAAGTGTTGCAAACAATGGAGAAGAATGTCAAGTTAGATGAGGAGTACATTGATGTGAGTTTACTGTTAACTTCATATATGGTTTAAAGTTTGCATGAATCTACTGACCGTCCAGGGATAGGCTCCAGTCCCCCCACAACCCCATTTGGGAATAAGCGGTTCAGAAAATGGATGGATGGATAAATATACTGACATTTTTTGTCTGTAAATTCATTAATGACGTGGCTGAGCCCTTTTTAATATACATGACATTTGAGAGAAATTTGCCCTAATCAAACTAAACTGCTTTGCTGCAGGGGAGTCGTAGAGTGTATGAGCTGGAGGTGAGGAACCAGGCAGAAGCCCTGGAGAAACAGCTCAGACGTGGAACCTACAGGGACTCTTTGGTAGTTACACATAAACACCTCTGTCATAGGCACACAGTCACAGTTCAGCACTAATGGGTCTGTGCCTATCTTTTTTAGGAAAACAGTGAATACATGCTGTACCTGAGGCAGAGCCAGCAGGAGATCCTGAAGGAGGAGGAGAGAAGGTATCGCTTCTTGGCAGAGAAGCACTGTGGCCTGACTCAGTCACTGCTGTTCCTGATAAATAAGGTAGGTAAACACCCCTGCTCGTTTCTCACAGCAACAAAAGCAGCGCAGATCGCTGCACATGGAGGAATTCTAATTTTTTATAAACTCAGGGTCTAAATCCTGCTCGAGATGTTTGCTCAATTTTTTAGAATGCAAATTAAAGTAGCAACCATAGTACCCTTTTGAAAAGTCAGAGCTCATCCATTTTTAAACATAAAAGGTCAATTTCTGTGGGATAATGTAGGCAACAAATTCAGATTTTAATCTACTGAATGAAACTGCTGTTGTTTGTTAAAAAGGCTGAAGTCTTAAACTAATCTATACCCTGCATCAGTTTTTTCTAAATAAATACATTGTAAATGCCTTGAGCTAATTTTATGTTGATTTTATGTTTTTTCCTTATTTGTTTTTCATATGTGAGCAAATTGTTTTAAAAAGAATATGATCTGTAATTTCAGATGGGATATCTTCTTTCTATAAAATGTGTTAGCAATTTAGAGATATGATCAAAATTTAGGCAGAAGGATTGGTGGGAGGGAGGGATGGTCACATGATAAGGTTTAATGAGTTTAATGAGGTACCCTGTTATTATTTGTTTTCAGACTGGTACATCCCTCCAGCAAAAGGCGGATAGTTGGAAAGACAAAGTGAGCGAGACCCGAGAGACCAGATCTCGAACTCCTACCCATTTAGACCAAGATGCACAGGTACCAAAGCAATATCTGGTTTGGGTAATTATTTCTGTTCATGATAAACAGAAATTAAGTTTAAGTTACTCAATTTGGGGAATTCTCCACACAATAAATTATCTTTGATGAAGCTGATAAAAAATAAGCTCAGAGTCTTCCTGATATTATTTATGGAAAATATAGCACACTTATTCCAAGAACTGCAACTAGGATTTCCATTTTTTTTCTAAATACAAACAATTCCCTCAGTCTGATCTGAAGAACAGATACAAACTGATATAAAACATTTCTCCTGCCTGGAACAGGATGCCTGGAAAATTGATTCCACTGGTTAATTACTGACCAATGAGCTGCTGTAAAAGTAACCTCCCCTATAAACTCCAGCTCAACAAAATTGTTTAAAAAGAATTTGGGTGGACAAAGCAGTCAGCCTGTGATCGGTACGCTGTGCCTCTTCAGCTTCGAGGTTCTGTGAGCTCCCTGCTGCAGACAGTTGCTAGAGATGAAGACATGTCCTGGGCCAGGCGGGAGCAGCAGGCGCTGGGCAGAGTGCCCTCTAGAGGCAAGAGACAGACACACCTATGACAACCGCTGTGTGATATTTTGCTTAAAAAAAGATTTTTCTCATATTCTTTTAATTTATTCCTCCCTCCGTTCTTCTTTTTTTCATCTCCCCCCTCCAGCACCGTCTCCCCTGCCCAGCCGATCTCGGTCCAGTTCAGTGGGGGAATCACTTGGTCTGGGGGCAGGAAGAGCCATGAGAGCCCTTGTATCTCACCCCTCTTCGTCCAACCCGAAGCTCTTACCTTTCAACCGGGGAGAAACTGTCACCGTCCTGGTCCAAGAGCCTCGCAACGGCTGGCTTTATGGGCGCACTGACAGCAGCCTGCGGTAGGTTTATTTAAGTGTGATTCTATCACCTTTGCTGTGCTTTCAAAAACATTTACAGTACAAGGTTTCTCAGCATATTGTTGTGACTGTGGTCTTGGTACAACCTCTGCTTTTTCATACATCACTCTTTTTATGCACAGTGTCAAGGGAAGCACATTTTCACAACAGAGGAGGAAAGGCTGCTGGAGATACACTGTTAACACATTGTATTATTTTTCACACAGTTTTAGCTGTTTACTGAACTGGGGAGTAAGTGACAGTGACAGAGTGCTCTCAAAAGGCATGTCAGCTTACTGCCTCAGTCCCCTTGTTCACCAACAACTCAACAAACCTACACAAAGACACATATGAGTCCAGCAGGACTATAAAGATGAACATTAAGCAAATTTAGAGGTTAATATGGAAACCCATTCTCCTGAACCGTATTTGCTTTTGTTCAGGATTGGAACCAGAGCTTTATAACATCACATAATTCATGTTTAAGGCAAGCAAAAACAACCCTGTTGTTAAGATTTCACTAATCTATAATTATTTAGACTTAGAGCTGTCAAACATGTCTTATAACAGTACGGTTTAACTATGCTACCAAATAGTATGCTTACCAGACTGAGAATCCCTCCCTCCCTCCATTAGAGTTCTCACAATGAGTCACTAGAACATATTTGCATGTTAGTGTAAAAGTATATCAGAATATTGGTAGAGTCTGCCAACAGGTGCCTGAGATCTATAAATGTGTTTATACCACAGTAGTAATATCCCATCCAGGCAGTTTGGTTTGATTAATTTAAGTTAATCATGGACTGAGCTAGTGTCCATAATTAATATGAACATATCAGAAAAATGCTACTTGTATCCTTATTTGTCTAAAACTTAAGTTTGTGGACTTGATGAATGTTTTAACAATTTATTTGTTTAAATCTTTTACAGAATGTTCAGCTGTTGTCTAATCTGTTCTGTTTTGTCTCCATCAGTCAGGGATGGTTCCCCGCTGCATATGTGGCTCCTATTGAAGATTTGTCAAACACTTTAGCAGCCAGGTGGGAGTCTGCACTTCAAATTTTACTTGACATAACTCTTGTATTGCTCCTATGTTAGAAAAAGGATTTCAGATTAAAATGTTTGGATTATTTAAAAAAATATGTCTTTGACTCACACAGTGGTGGCTCCCTGAGAAGCCACAGCATGAACAATCTGCCAGACACAGACACCTACACTGACCAAACAGAAGGCAAGAGTTTTGGCAATATCCCGCCCCCCGCCACACCTAACCGAAGGGCCTCTGTAGACTTCCGACCAATCTCTCCAGTCCCTGAGAAGAAGGCAGACCCAGTAATAGAGACAAAGCCTCCCCCTCCTCCTCCCCCACCACCACCTCCACCACCCAATCAGAACCTCAGAAGAGGCTCAGCAGATTTTCGACCAATCTCTCCCCTTACTGATAGGAAGAGTGATTCAGCATCTGATGGCCAGGTAATTTGTGTTTAATTAAAATTGTTCTATGAAAAGAGAAGTTGTAAAAGTGGATTTTGTACTTAATTATACCTTGTTTTTTCAGTTCTTGTCTTGTCTATCCTGACAAAATCTCTCTTTTCTCAGGCATTATCTCCACATGGGCCCCCTCAAAACCTGCTGTTTCCACGGTAACTTTCAGTCTGTACTTTCTGACTAAAGGGCTATAAAAAGATTTAGATTTCCTGAGTTCTTTGATACGTGTCAGAGCTAACCTGATATTTTATGATGAGTTATGAGTAAGCTCTCCACACATATCTTCACAACAGAGCCTTCAGTTCAGATGCAGTTATAGAACCCCGAGTCCTGACACAGATGTTTAAAACATCAGACAGTTTCTATTGTGGAAAGATGACCGGTGAAGCATGCTTACCACCCGCGGTCAAAATTGACTTTCCTCAAGATGAGGTCACTGTGGTGTTGGTTTCCCAACCTGGATTCCGTGCTTGTGTGTTTATTTTATGTGTGCTGGCAGAAAATACACTTGTGTGATGTTGTGTAACCCTATCGTGATGCTCCTGTTCCAGAGGCACGAACCCGTTTGCCACTGTCAAGCTTCGGCCCACAACGACCGATGACAGATCTGCTCCTCACATCCACTGATATGTCAGCGCTCATGCAGGTGGGCTCGTACAGCTGCGAGATCCACTTAAAGAGACAGGATATCCATTATTTTTTCTTTACCACATTCTGTAAAACGAGAAGGTTTTTTTTTTTTGTTTGAGGAACCAATTTTATACAGTGTTAGACGATATAAGGTCTATACTGTAACAAAAACAAAATCATCTAAATGATTCAAACTGTTCAGTAATATTATTGTATTAACTTCTCTTGTACAGTAGGTAGGTTTATATGTTCTTTTCTATTTATCTCTGGTGGTAAAAAATCTTGAACAGTTGTTGGGAATTGGACTACTCAGTCTTCCAAATCAGCAGCTGGTTAGATAAGCTAAAATCCTTTTTTGCTCTGATGATTTTTGATATTTCACGTGTCTATTTTGTGAGTTGAATTTTTTGTGAGTGACAGCAACAAACATTAAGTAAAGAGACAGCAACTCAAGTTTTCTTTTTATTATCTTTTCTTACTGATATCTTTTCTCTCTTCACAGCTCTCCTTATGTATGATTTTATTAACTACATCATCTTATCAGAGGCAGGGAGTGTGGTGAAAGAGGAAGGGACAGCGGTGAGGTGAGGTCATTGTTGAGGAAGAAGAGAGGGAAGAAAGTGAACTAATATGTGAACATTCCAAAATGAAACCAATCAAGAAAGAAAAATACATAGCCTGAAATGAGACAGTCAAAAGAAAATTGCAGTTGAAGGAGCCTTTAACATCTACGCCATCTAAAGCACTAAAACCACCTGTTTTAGACCACAAGCTATCCTCATGAAATCATTAAGAAGTATTCTGGTATCCATTCAGCATGTGTGTGGTTAAATATATATATGTATAAAAAATGAAAGTTTTAAATGAAACTGATGCCTTTTATGTCTGTATGTTCCTCCTCATGGTGACTCCCTCTTAGCCTGTTTTTCGTTGGGACCAGGCCTGGTATGACTCCATATGTGGGGTCCACAGGAAGGTAAAAGGAGTTTGGAGGTGGCAGGTACAAAAATATGAATGCAGGGACGAAAGGAGGAGGAAGAAGAAGGGGTTCATCTATCCCCTACTCATGCACTAAGGCCTCAAACTCTGAAAAAGAAGAAGAAAATTCAACTTAAATTGTGCACAAATGGGACAGACTGTCTTATAAAAGGCTGACAATATATCTTATTAATATTCTATCAAAATGTAGTATACAAAACATTACATTGTAAGCATAATATGATTTGGACGGATGAAGGTGCAGATGCCCACCACCCGTCCACACCACTGTATCCCTTTTGCAATTCTAAACTTCATTAGTCCCAGCAGACATTGGCCCTGGTCGCTTTTGATTAGTTTTTACATTCAGATTAAAGGCATTTCAAACATAGTGGCCACCTTTTGATGTTTTTTTTAAGGACCATTTGCTTTTTTTAGAATGTGTTTTTCAGTTTTTCTCTCGAGGCACGAAGCCGTGTCAAAAGTTGAAGTTAGCTTTTTCACAACCTGGGGATTTAACTCCCCTCTCTCACCGTCAATCCCAATTTTTCCATCCCCATCTTTGTCCGCAGCTTGGAGGAATGCTGTTGTCTCTGCGTCAGTCAGGTCTCTTCCATCCTTAGAAAAACCCTTCAGTACAAACCTGAGAGAAGAAGGGTAACATGGCATTACTTGTACTTAGCTTTTTAAGTATGTTCATCTGAGCCTTTTTTGGGTTCTTTTTTAAAATTGGATTTATTTTTTTATTTATTGCATCTGTTTGATTGCCTTACTTAAGCTCCTCCTCCTCTATGAATCCACTGCCATCCACGTCGAGAACCAGAAAAACCTTCTTGACATTTTCCGCTGACATGGCCTTCATTCCGATCATTTCAAAAAATTTCTTGGGGTTAAATGTTTCTGCTGTAAAAAGCGAAAGCAAAATAAATTCAATATATATTGTTAACCAACAGGACCTCATTTGGCATTAGTATTTTATGACATTTTGTATGTTGATATACTGTAAGGTGACAGACCTTTAAAGGCATCAAGAGCTTTCTTGATCTCCTCCGGTTTTAACAGATCCGTCATTACCATTCTGCCAGCTGCAGAGAGAACATAAAAATGTAATTTTAGGGAGTAAAAACATTCCCATTTCAAAAGTACAAAAGATATCAGTTATGGGTAAAAACAGGAGGGGAGAATTTTACACAAAATATAAAACAAATAAGTTCCAAATATGAGACTTTTTGTCACAGAATAAATAGAATCTACGGTCAATATTAGCATAGACAAGTAAAATATATTGGTTGGAGATGATGCATTTAAACAAATAAAATTACACTGTCAGCTGTGGTGGATCTGGTAGGATATTTTAAAGGCGTTCTGATTTCAGTGTGACATGTCACAGCATGGGGTCAGTGGGCTATCTTATATAAGGACAATTCCCATAATTTTTCTTTCTGTCATCTTAAAAAGATAAAAACGTCCAACATGCGGACAACACTGACAAGTAAACATATTTCTTTTCATCTGTTTTCAAGATTAGAATTGTACTGACTACTTCCAACAATACAATTTTACACTAGAAAATGTCTAAAAAATCCCCACTGGATGGCAGTGATTCCCCGGTAAAGCTTTTGTTATTCAGAATTCATGGCTGTGCTGAACGGCAGTCGCTTTCGTTGTCTGTAGGTGTCACAGAAGAGCTGAAGGAACATACTGTCCATCTCCATCGGTTTAATGTTCTTGGCAACGAGTGTAGGGTTGACAGGGCAGATATTTGGCTCCCACATGTGGGTAAGACAACGGGAGCATGTTTGTCTTGAGTCCAACAAAATAATGATACTCCTGACCAAGAGATAGAGTGAAAGAAACAACAGATTCCAACGTCTGCTCTTTCTGTCTGTCCAGTGTACATCTCAACCTTCCTGTGTCCCGCTGTTGGCACCAAAAGCCAGTCAGGCAGCATCTTGATGGTTTATGGCCATTGAGAGGAGAGCACCATCATTTGTTTGCCCAGCTTTCACATACTGCCTTCTAAACTTTGAAAAAACGAACAGCTCATTTTAAGCTTCATGTTTAGAGAATTCAAAAACACCTTGAGATATTCAAATGTGGTAAGTAAATGATTTTAAAACAACGCTTACTTTACAAAAGTGTTAGAACATTTGTAAAAAAAGATGGAAGGAAAAACACCCGTTGGAACATCCCATCATCGTAAGTTTTAAATTCTGCAAGTTAAGTACATAACCAAGTGTCAGATGTTTCATCAGTAAAATGCGAAAAATCAATGATTGGAATTGTCTATCTAAATAAAGAAGAATAAGGAATCATGTTATCTAAATAAAAAATAAGCATAAATAATATCATATATGAGACTGAACTGAGAAATCTGGATTTGGAACAAGGGTGATGGACGTTAGAGTTAAAGGGTAAAAAAGATTCTACGATGATAAAAAAAAAAAGCTTTAGCCACATGTTTTTCTTTGCAGCTTACACTTCATCTCCCCTATTTTGGTGGCAGAGCTCAAATATGTTTTTGTCCTTCCCTAAAGCTTTAAATCTGAGGTGAGAACGAAAGGTGTGTTAAGAGAAAAATGTCTTGTCGTAAAAAAGTCTAAATGTATTTCAGAACTTTGTCCCTCCCTAAAGCTTGAAATCCTCACATAAGCCAGTAGACATAGTGACTCCCCAATTTTTCTTACAATGAAAAACTTGATGGATGACTGAGTTTATATTTTAGCACCGCAACACGTCCATTCGTCAAATTGTGGACCCTCACTGGGGACTGAAAGCCCATTCTGCTGGTTAAGCGTGTCATAAATAAACTGTACATGTCTGACCTACGTCTCCTCAGAAAATTGGCCGCAGTTTTACAGTACAGGGAGGATACATTCAGGATTTGAAGAGCAGAACAAACGTAGCCGACACATCTTAGAGGATTCTGACCCCGAATACTTTGAGCGTGATGAGAATGAGGAAAAACATGTTTAAAAATGACACTTCCCTCATCAGGGCCCGCGAACCGAGAAAACACCCATTCGACAAACACCTGCTACTAAAATTTATCTTTATTTGGTACCAACCACTGCAGAGTCGAGACCAGTGTAAAGGAGACAGCACATTGCAGCATGTGGGGGTATGTATGAGACGTGAAATCAATATCGAACCCAACTAATTTTAGATGGATAATCCTTGTTAGGCTGCCTTGTGTTTGAGCCAACAAAAAAACATTGAACCTATTATCTGTACCATATTTAACCTCCGCCGTGGTTGAGTTTTCAGATTAATTTTGACCATGTATTTACTTTTGTGCTCACTTCTGCATCCGACTTTTCAGCTTTCATTCAAATCAGACCTCACACAACATGTTTGAAATCGCTGACCATAGTGGACCATGTTCAATCTACTTTTTCAACTTTGGGATTATCGTTTTACCAACCTTGGGCTTCTTAAACCTGTGATGCTCACGATAGATTGAGTTTCTATCAGCGCATCGTCCCAGAGGTTTAAACTAATGCAGCGCCGCAATACACTCCACAGCTATAGAATATTCTATCACCGGTGCTGCCACTTCAGTTTTATGGTTATTACAACAAGCCGTGGCATTTCATTCACTTGCTGCATATCTGCTTGTCTCAACTAATCTCAGCAATTGTTATTGTTCACTTCTTTTTATTCAGTCGCTCTGTCTTTCAATTCTCTTTTCTGTGTGTTTGTTGTCAAACATCTGTCCCTTACAACAATTGCTATTTTTTTTTCTGTCTTACCTGGATGAAGGGGAGGATGACTGCAGATGAGAAGAGGGAAAGAAGGTATGAGGGAGGGTGATGGAGGGAGACTGGAGAAGAAAGGTCTGCAGGTTGAAGTAAGATGAGCGAGTTAAGGGGGAGGACACAATAAGACTTTTATAGCTGCCTCCAGTCTCATATACACTTCTCCCATTTAACCCCTGTGCACCGGCCTTATCCCCACCTCTCTATTTTGAGAGGGGGTTTGTCAAGACATGACGCAAATACTGTTGGCCTATTAATAATACCTCTTTATCTGACTTCCTTCAGACCTTCTCTCCACTCAGGGCTTCTTTCTTTGTGTGAAGTGCTGTGATGAAGCAATATTGGCATTATGAAGCTGATGGTGTCCAACCACTCTCTTTCAGTTTTTTTTTATAAAGGTGTGATATTAGCCATAATTAACAGTGCAATCTGAGGTTGTTGACCATTATCGAAACAGCTTTTTTGTAACCTGGTTTAATCTTTTTTAACCCTACAGGCTTCTGGAGAAAGTTGTTTATTTCTTAAGAAGTAGCTCTGTTAGAGAAATAATTTGGCTTTCTTTAAGTCTTCATTTTACAGCTTGACAAAGAAGCTAGAAAAACAGTGATTGTACAGAAAAGCAATGGCTTAAAGTAATGCTTAATTATTTCAAAACACCTTTCTCTCTTTTTTATTTTAAATATGTTTATTTTAAACTAAAAAAGGTGATTGTTAGTGTTTAATTACTTAACCCTAACAATTGTTCTATTAATTTTGTTCTGGTAAGTACGGATTTACATATATCAAATTCCCAGCAATTTTATTTATCTATACTCAGAAATAAGGTAGCTGGACTTCTTTTCTCACTTCAACTCCCGTCTCAAAGACCTCCTCTGTGCTGTTTGACTGGTGGTAACCTTTTGTTAGCATTGGTCATCAGCCTGAAGTTCTATTTACAGGAGATGTTTTAGAAATGGTAAAATTCCTCCCTTTCAATCTTGTCCTTTTTAAAAATTCCTTCTTTAGGCCCATGATACACAGCACAACTCTATGTGGACAGCTTGACCTCCATTAAATCCTCTTGACAACGTCTGCAGCATCAAAGTCAGAAAAGCATCCTTGTAACATGACAGAGCCTCTTTTCTCTGCACTTAGGGTGTGGTTGTCTTTGTGAGCCTCATTACATCACCAAACCCCCCCCAAAAAGTGAGTTATATCATCAGGACATTAGACTTGCCATTTTTTTGGCCTTCACATAAATAGCCGCACAGTTCCAAGGTCTGACCAGGTTGGCCTGAAGAGCCTCTGAAATACCTTGAAAAGATTAAAATCAGTTTGACCTAAAAAAGACTTCCCTGTAGACTTGTGTTTAAGGTTGTTTTGTTCTTTGATAATGTATCAGGCTTTTTTCTGCGTCTTTACGTGTATTACATGTTGAATTAAGACATTATAAAAAATGTCTAAAGAGTTTCTAAGAGTTTCTGACCAGGACAAATAGAAAGAAAAGCAGTATGTTCCAACAACGGAAACACCACCCATCAGGACGTCATAATATCCACATACAGCACTGCAACTGGATGGGTATGTGCAAACAAACAGACATAGATGAGATACATATGGGAAGTTTTTTTTACTGTGTTTACAGCTACATTGATCTCATGACATTACTCTCTCTCCCCTCATGTCCTGCACTGACCCTCTGTCCTCTCACTGTCTTGTCCTGAGACTGTCTTTACTTTCTCCTCTCTATTATATTACCCCCCCATCAGCACTTCCCAGCATTGAAGAAAATGTGAATGGGAGGGGTGAATTGTTGGGGGGGACATGCTGGAAGGATTTGTTGTGGGGGTAATGTCTGGAGTTTGAGAAAGGGGGACAAAGAAATGTGTCATTTTAGAAGAATTTTGGTGGGAAATGAGGAGAATTGGTCCACAGAGTTGGAGACAGTGAAGACAAACAGCTGCGAAAGTGAGGGAACGTCACACTAATTAACAACGACAAACAGTGGAGTTGAAGCATGCAAATGTTGCACAGTGATCGCCTCGGATCAACCTGAAAATAGAGGGAAAGCGAGATGTATAGTGACAGACGGGCAGAGAGAGGGAGAGGCACGAATGTCTTTTTAATGACCAACATGCTGTTCTGCAACAGGTGCTGCGTTAGGTCATGGTAGGGGTAGCTGGCATGATCTAAGGTGTGTGTGTGTGTTTGTGTGTGTTTGTGCGTGTGTCCTACCAACATCACAGGGGCTTCCCTTGTCCACTGACCCAAAGATTAGCAGATATCGGGCCTAAAAATAAACTCAGGGGAACCCGGGGTTTGCAGGAGGATACGAGGCGCAGAACAAAATCTGATGTGGGATCATACAGTGAAGCCACACTTTAGGAGATTTCATATGTCACTTCATTAGTACTTGAACAAAATGAACTCACTTGTAGGCATTTGGAATGATTATCACCATTTTGGTAGTAATCAAACGAGAAATAAGCATGACACCGTCATATAAAAGTCACATGACTCAGCTATTTGTGGCCTCACAATATGTTCAGGTTTCCTCTAATCAATGTCATGAACACACCTTAAATAAAGGCCCTTTAAATTTGGGAGTGACCAAAATCAAAATAAAGTTTCTGACTGCGCTCAGACGTTTTCAATTTATGCAGCACGTGGAATTGGTTTTAGCTGACCATTAATTTGTAATATACTGACAATCCTGTATAAAAAATGCCACTCTGTGACCTTAGAAAAACACATGCAGCTAATTACTTACCAAGCAAATTAAAACTAGGATCATTTGAGCCCTTTATACCAAGCAGTTTGGCCGTGTAAGGTCAATTCCCTGTCCACACAGTTTTCAGGTATACAGCAGTGTGCTGAGGTAACGCGATCTGTGAGAGCTCATTAGAAGGGAAGATGGTGTTTCCGAGGAGCTGCAATGCCTGTTGATCACCGAACAATGATGTGAAAAGAGTTTGAAAAAAGAAAATACAATGTATGGAGCTCGATCGAAACATTTTGTTCTTCCTTACTCTTTGTATAATGGGCACACAAAATAACCTTTCCCTTTGTACGTGTTGGTTGTCTGTGGGTATGTAGACGTATAGAAAATGGAAGTGTGGACACATCTCAGAAAGGTCCACAGGAAGAAGATGAATATAGACTTTTCTCACACTGACTTGCAGGATCCTTTAGGTAGTAAAAAGAGCCAGTTGGATGCACATCATGCAGTGTTTAAAACACGCAATAATTCAGTCTTTTGGATCTAATTCTAAACAGTGATGCTCTGGATATTGCTTTTCCTCATATAAATACAGTTTTGACCCTTTTCGCACTCATCATGCAGTTCTCTCAGCTCATACTCTTCAAAACTTCAGGTGAATAAAGAAGTTGCTCTTTGGGCACTGCCCCTTTTTAAAAAGTTTTTACCGGTTTAACTTACATAACAAAAAGGACCAGAGTTCAGACAAGTGCTCAGCCTCTGCTCTCTGATTCTGTGATGCTGCTGCTACGGTAACCAGCAGTCAACATGGTAAACACAGACCGTGTTTGTTGAGACGGCCTGTCAGTCTCGCTCCTTGTGTTTCTGTGTTTGCGTGTGTGTGTGTTTGTGGGCTTGTAGTGGTATCTGTCAGCTTAATGTCTAACAATATTTCATCAGTGGACCTTTTCCAGTTTGCTTCTGTTTCAGAGTGATATTCAAAGCTCGTAATACCCTGTGCACAAACAGTTACAGCAGACTCGTGTTAAAGACACACGCACACACACACACACACACACTCACAGAAGCACAACAGACTCCAGCAGCTGGGCTGACCTTGAGGATAAATACACCCTTGAAAAATGTTTCTGCAATTTGTGGCTGGTGATGGTCTGTTATACGAGCAGCGTTTCAAAGAATCCATCCCGGGCTATGTAGAAATAGATACCGAGTCAATATGTTGCCGCGCTCATACACACTCACGCACATTTGTCTTTGCACTGTTTCACTCTTTTGTAGATTGTGCTTCTTTTTCTGGCAGACGCACTCACTCTCACCCTTTTTTTTCTCAGGCAAACGTTGACACCCGTGCTGTTTTTCTCTGCGCTGTTTGGCTCTGGGCTTCTGTTTTGCAGCAAACCAGCTGTTCGCACACACCTTTAACATGTCACTTCTCTAGGAAGTCACGAAATAAAGACTGTATTATGAGCAGAAATGACAGGTTCAGTGAGCTTGGACAAGTGTGTAAGATAACCATGCTGTGCGCGTTGGCTCCTGTCAGCTTTCTTCTGCGTTCACATCTGCATTCACGAGGAGTCACAGATGTGCTGTAAACCATTTTGGAAGATCAAAGTGGCCGGCCTTGTCGTTTCTCCGGGTCTGAATTTGAACTTGTCGACGGTTTGCTGAGCCTTGATTCTTTGTGTGAAATACCTGGAGCCTTAACCAGAAGTGACGTGAAAAAGACAGATCAAATAGATTGGTTCTGATTAGAAATCTAACCGAGTCGGTGAGCTGCATATCATCAGGCACTCTGAGAAGAAAAAAACGCTTTAGGCTGGACGTTGAATCATAATTGGACCTTGTCCGTCTGCTTAACACACAAGCCCAGCACACCAACAACTTTACTGACATCTAGTGTTTGATTGATTCATCACGCCACATTATTCTAGTGGTTCAAAGTTTGTTTGGCCACTTTCACTCTTCTGAGGAGTCCCTTTAAATAAGCAGATAACAGATTACTATAATTACAAAGGATAGAGGATGACCATTCAGATCCTAAAATTGTAAAATTGTCTCATCATCTCGGGTTGCATAGGTGCAGTAATATGGATGGTAGGACTGGAGGTTTTTTAAAACTAACAGTGGACATTTTTTCTGCATAGAGCTTGCACATGCTATGTTGAAAAGGGCTTAGATTATAACTAAATGCAGGACAAGACTCTACATTCTATCCAATAATCGCAATACCACGGTCCGTTGTGCCAAAGACAAACCTGAGCCTGAATCCTTATCTATCTTTACTCCTGCCCTCAACAGGTTCACAAGATCTGACTGAAAGAAAAGGTTTGCAGATACAAGTGGTTGAAATGGGTTCCCTATAGAGGGTGGCAAGGCTCAGCCACCTAGAGTAGAAGAACAACATGCATGATGGATTACATGTCCCTCTGGCTGGAAAAGCATTGGCATGCCAGAAGAGAGTGTTTTAACAATTTAGCAGGTACATAGTACAAGTAGAAAAACTGTCTTTTTCACTGAATGATTTTGATGATATTTAAATATCATGGTACACATGCATAGATTCTCATTCTGAAGTTTTACCTTAAAACAGTTAGTACCCGTGGACGAGGCACTTTGTTACAGCATCACTTATCAGGAGGAAAACTGTTTCCCAAGATTCAACTAACACGTTTGAAGTGGAAACTTGCTCACATGCCTACGGGCCTGTCACCAGTCATACTCACAACAAATAGAGAAGAATTATGCACTGCAGAGAATCATATTCATATGATTTAAGACCACAACAGAGAGAAAACTGACCTTTTTTCCAGGTCAAGTGAGTTTAAAAAAAAAAGACTAAGCAGTAAATGGGGACTATAAACTCATATTGACAGCAGACTTTTCTTCCTTTTTTGTGAGTCTTTCAGTTTCCTTCTGGTTCTAAAACGCCACCAGTAAATTCTCATTCCTGTGAGCTGGTTCCACCAGCGCCACAGCCAACCCTTGATTAGAATTTGCCACTTTCGTTTGTAACATTTTATACCTCGTGCTTGGCGGCCCGTCCCCGCCCACCCAGCAAAACGCGGAACATGCGAGCGGCCAAAACAACCGCACCATCCAAAGGTCTCTCTGCGGGGAACTCTCGCTTCCTCACGGTGACCTTCTTTTACGAGGCGAATCGGGGAACAGGGTGTGTGTTAGCCGGGAACTTTTTGTAAAGCGGATCCTTCCGTGAGGATCGGAGCTGAGGCTGGTCAGTCTGTGCGTCAGGAGCCGGCCCGGTGCGCAACATGTCTCTGCAGCAGCTACGGGATGAGAGGTGGGGTTTTTTTTTTCTGGTGATGATCCCGGTCAAACCACGAGAAATCATCACTGAACTAACAGATTGTGTGATCGTTTCACAGTGACTTCGATCAGCTCCCCCACAACATCCCTGTTAGTGCCACCATTGCTGACATCGAGGAGAAGAAAGGCTTTATAGACTACTTTGTAAGTATTAACTTACTTAGACCACTTGAAAGTTTCACAGTTGCTGAGCCTGTATGTTTTTTTTCTCTCTCTCTCTCTCTCTTCCAGAGGTTTGTGGTTGAGGTGAAGACTAAAGGAGGGAGCAAGTATTTGATCTACAGGAGGTACAGGGAGTTTTTCAACCTCCACCAAGTCCTGGAGGCCAGATACGCCCCAGAGGACCCGGACAGACCTGGTCCCAACACCTGCACCCTGCCCTCCCTTCCAGGTGAGCGTCTGTCCACAGCCCTGATAAGGGCAGAGGCACGCAGCAGGGGGACCAACCAGGGCGTCATGTTTCACATTGCTCACATGCAAGTTTGCCAGAGAGCTCAGCTGATAAAATAACTCTGCAGTTGGTATTTCCGTATTGGTAAGTCAGACTGGAAACGTGTTTGACCTGGGGTGTGGTAATAGTCGCAGAGAATTTCAGTTTCGTCCCAGATGTTCGAAACTCAAATTGAAACTGATCAATTCTTTCAAAAACAGTTTGCATGTCAATAAGAATTTGATCAAATATTAGTCTTTGTAACAAGTTAGTCTTAACATGGTTGAAAAGCTCATTAAAATACTGATCCATAATTTGTTTTTTCCCCCTGTAGACTGTTATATAATGAATCGGGAAATTATTGCTATTCCCTTGGAGTGACTGTAGCTAATTGTGGGGGTAAAAATATGACGGACCATATTCTTATAACAGTGGTTTCTTTTTGAGCCAGGCATGTTTTGGGGCCAGATGTACTAGCCTTAAAACCTTCGCTACACCTTCCACAGTGAGAGTGACAGTTAACCCTTTACTCACTACAAAGTATTACACATCATGTTTTTTTTTAAATTGTAGATAGCTCAAATACTGGAGTTATCTGTATTACTTAAAAAAAAAATGTTTGGCCATTCTGGCATGCAATAAAGTTTTGAAATAGAAGTTTTTCCCCCCACCTTCTGTCCCGTCACCATCTACTGCTGTGGTAAGAAGCGAGCGGTGCGTTCAAAACCGTCACTCACCGGGGAGAAACTGGCTTCTCTATGGTGACAGCTGGCTCAACTTCCTTTCTGCGGTTGGAGGAACTGAACCTTATCTAAACGTAGTTTTGGAGTGATTATTTTTTTTACCTGTGTATTTATAATGGAGATAAGCATGATCAGAGTTGCTTTATGAATTTAAAAACATATTTTATCCCCTGGTGAGATCAAGGAGAACAGCGCAGGGAATGAGAAACAATGGCGCCGTCACAGATTTGATGACACAAATCGGAGTCGTTTTTTAGCCACTTGAGTACAGCGAGGGTATATTTTACATGCCTGTTGCTGCATGAAAATGTGAAGTTTCACAACCCAATGCAGCATACATTAAAACCCCAACCCTCCAGTCATGCTGACTGAAGTGTGACACAACTTCCATCCAGTATTTACTTTCAGTTAAACTCTTGTGCCAAAAACCAGCCAATCTCTGTTGGATTAGCAATTTTACCTCTGTGTGACCGTTTGTCTTTATTGCCTTGGTGGCTGTGATTTTATTCAGCTCATCGTTTCCTATAATCCTGTCTCTCCAGCATGGGCCATCAGGGTCTGCGCTGATTATTTGTGGCATGAAACATCTGCACCAATAAGAGCCCGAGAGCTTTCAGGAAGTGGTTCAGATCATTGAGTTGGAAGAGATAAAAAAGTGAGAGGTTTTTGTGTAAGTTCAGAGACTGGTAATACCTTAAAAATCGTATAACTGTGTGTTGTCTCTCTAAGTTGCAATAAAACTGTTTTCTTTGGACTGAAAGGATTTATTTTATCATCATTGTTTATCAAATTCAGGTATGAGGAACAGATCAATTTGGTATGTGCGTTTGACTTTTTTTTTCTCCAAACTAAAGGCACTGTGATGATGTCACCACCAAAACATGGTGACAGCATCACAGTGGCAGACTAAATAGTCACATTAGTGTCTAAATGTCAGGGACTTATGAAATCACAGGCAGTTTCTTACATTTCTTTAAAGCTGATCCTCAGAGGTCTCATCGGGGACTTTTCCATGCACATTTGTGAACAGTGTTGTAAATTGAGGAGTTAACACTATGAGTTAAAATCGTGAGTGTACCTATTTTTAGCACACGATCAGAGAGCCGTTTATTTGTTTTCTCTCCTCGTTGTCATCGATACTACCACATTTTCATTTTCATGTAAGATATTGTACGACCGTTCTTTGATATTTCATTTGAAGTACCCCATGACGGTAGACTTTTGATTTAATCCAGTCAATCCTCTTTGGTTCATTCTTTGAAAGAACTCACTCAGGAAAATAATCTTTTTTGTTGTGAACATTTCAGCACATCATTCTTTCAAGACCCGAAGGCTAGAATGTCGTCCGCTATATTAGGAAAGTTCTACTTTTCTACAAACTCAGATTTAGCATCTGCCACTGTGGAGTCTGCTGGTTTAATTGGAGTGCCAGATCTCATCAGGATGGGAAGGGAATAAGAAAGACTGGGTGGGGAGAGTGGAGGGAGACAGGGAGGATGGGTCATGGGTATATGGCAGAGAAAAAAATAATGGGAAAAGTATTAAGAGCTCTCCGATCAAACTCAGGCTGTTTCTATTTCCTGTACATCCCAGGGCCTTGGATGAAACATATTACGTTAGATTCTGGGAGCAGTTAACTCTTCAACAGATGAGTGACTGATTCATCAGTTGGTAAATGAGTAGATTTGGGCGATTGAGTGAGTTGTCATGCTCCAGAGTGAATGTGATGAGAGACGCTGAGAGACGGCGGAGGGCTGGAAATGTGGCTGAAGGTCATTAAGGCCGGGCTAAATTTGATTTTGTAGCTCGTTTAGAGGGCCATGGATGAATTGCTGGGTCTGGATTTAGTCTTGGGGGTCAGTGCTGTGCCTCATAATTTGTGAACTTGGTGTGATATCACAGATGAGGGGTGATATGTCTTTGTTCTTCACTTGGACAATTTCAGAGTAATTTGAATGTGGACGAGCTCACACGTCTATCTATCTATCTATCTATCTATCTATCTATCTATCTATCTATCTATCTATCTATCTATCTATCTATCTATCTATCTATCTATCTATCTATGATTCAGCGAGTTCAAGGCTTCAATCAGAATAAATGCTGATTATACACACACGTTTCTGACAGATTTTCCTGGCCCTGCACACACATTTTTTTCTGTAAAGTGACTCAGTTTCTCATTATATGTTCTGGCAGACTTGCATAATGCCCAGAGATTTAATGGTGAGAAATGAAAGTTAAACTTTAATTGAATTTGAAATAAAATACAGGACTCAGCATACGTGTGGGTGGCCTTGCAAGAAATGAATAAAAGAAAGAAAAAATATATATTAATATATATATTTTGCATACGTGTGTGTGTGTTAATATGTCCAGGGTCTCCCGTGACTAGTTATTGATCTATTTATCAGAGTTGGTTGAAATAGTTATGGTTCAGTTGATATTCTTTATAAGAAAGTATTGTTTAAAGACATTACATTATGAATATATTACAATGAATTTGATTCTAATTAGCTTGAAGTGTACTGAAGTGTTGTGTTTTGGCTTTATATGAATACAATGTATTTAGATTTATTTGAATGCCATATTTCTTTTATTTGGTTACTTCTGGTAAAGGCTCTCGGTTGCTGACCCTGAGCCTTTTTTGTATATATACATCACTTAAAAGGAGAGGGGCATGCCCTTTTGCTTGGTGAAGATCAATTGAATCAATCCAATTTACACTATAAAGAATGTAACTATTTTGTTTTTGTTAACGTCTCATTTTAAAAACAGGAAAAATCTACATTGGAAACAAGCAAGAGATTGCAGAGGGCAGAATTCCTGAACTCAACACGTACATGAAGGTAATCGAATGTAATTTTATACAAAGCACATTTTGTTTGTTTGTTTGTTTTTTCTGGTGTTTAGTGCAGAGGAAAGAATCTTTGGCATGCTTGAAACTTCTTCAGCGTGCAGAGCAGTGGCCTACACCTTAGTGGGCTGAGCGATGCAGTAGGTGGATAAGCACTGACTCGGATATTTCAGCAGTAGTTGGGAGATCGAGCTCAACATGTAGGAGTTGCTGCTCTCTTCTCTCTGCTCTGGCCTGTGCCCACATCACGTCTGACTGACTGTAGTTGTGGGACTGTTGACATGTTTCGCTGTTGCTCCATCGCTAAAACACAAGCCGGTTCTCTTTCTCCCACTCACTCACTTCTCCTTTCTGTTTCACTGTTTGTTTTTTTCTTCCCCGCAACCTACATGGCTCTCACTTCTCTACGCTTTCTCGCCTTTGCTCGCTTCACACTTGTATTACTTCTCACCCTGTCTCCTTTTTTGTTAATCCACCCCTTACCTCGACTCTCTCAACAACTAATGTCTCCTCTCCTTTCATCAAACTCCTTCACCTTTCTTCCCAGTCTTCCGCTTCTGACACCTCAATTTTGTGCCCCATCACAGTCTGTTTTTCCCCCAATTATGTGTCGTTCTCCTCTGTCTCTCCTCAGAGGTTGCTTGGTCTGCCAACATGGCTGTTGCTTGACGAAACTCTCAGGATGTTCTTCTACCAGACGGAGCAGGATAGTCAACACCAGCCACAAGCCCTCAGGCGCCTCCGCCCACCCACCCGCAAAGTGTGAGCTCCACTCCTAATGAACATAAGCTCTTAACTATTCCCACAAAAACCAAGGGATTAATCCCTCCCAGTGCCACAAGCCGCTTTCCGGGGTCAACCTTGCGGGCTTCTGCGCGGAGAGGAAATATTTATTCATAAAAACACGACATAATGAGAAACGTAGCCTTGCATCTTTGACTACAAGCACTGGCCCAGCATAAGCCCCTCGTAATGGCTCTTGAGGGAGTGCTCACTACCAGATTAACATGGGCAGCATGAGAAGGTATATGAATTTAATTGGATGTCTGTTCATCACTTATTAGCTAACCAGCTGCTGAGCGACTCATCTATGTTGAAATCATGCTGATATTCCTTTTAGAAAGGGAATGTTAGACTTTTTTTTATCTGAAGGGATAATGGCTTCTCGTATAGTCGGATTATTTAGCAAGCAGAACATATCTTTACGACCTTTAAACAGTCTTTAAGTCTGTAGTTTTTTGGCACTGCAGATTAAGATGATAACATAGAGGAGCAGCATTTTGTTGTTGTTGTTGCTCAAAACAAACCAGGACTGTAGAAAAAAGAAGAGGGACCTTCTGGACTGGTGACAGGTGAAGCTGCAGCTCAGCACATTATAGATACTTCATGTCAAGAGTGAATGATGGTGCCCCTGCTGACCAATAGATGCTGCCTCAGTAACACTATTGTCATCTTTTTTCCCCCTACTAACATGATTTAAATTGGGCCAAGTGACAAAGAAGCAGTGAAAGCAACACAAATCTGACATAAAGAGGGATGTCATTACCATTCTTACTGTCTACTTCCTCATCCATAACGGTTATTCAACCTCCTGATTGGCTCATTTTCCTGTGGTCAAGTGACACTGGTGAGGGATGTGGTAAAGGGGTCTCTCTCAACAGGAAATTTAGCAAATTATGGCTTAGCTGTTCCCCTGCTCTTCCATGGATTAAATATTTCAAGAAAACGATTTCTTTTATCTTTTTATTTAACTACACAAGTCTATTATATCCTGGACACCATTTGCCATATTAGGTATTCCCTTCAAGTCTTCATATCAGAAAGCACATGGTTAAAAAATAAGTAAGATATTTTTCGCCTATTATGTGTATAAAATATAGATACTTTTTTGTATTAGCCAAAGTGTGCTTACATACACTGTAAGGTACCTAAAATCTATTGAATTTGGTATTTATTTGCTATTAATTTATATTATAATGCATAATATGATTCAGATTCCACTTTTAAATCAAAAACATTTTGTCATCGGCCACCGCTACTGAATATTCATGACTCTTCTATTCTTGTTTGTTTGCTAGGAAAACCGTTCAGCAACCAAAAATGGACATTTTCTCCTCCCCCAGGGCTGAGGTACTAGTAGTTGTGTATTTAGTTGTTGCTTTGGTTACAGTCACCACATCCACACACAGAGTAACACCCTTTTTGTTTAAAAAAAGGAAATAAACACAGAATGCACTAAGTCACCCTGAGAAATACCCCATGATCCTGCTAGCAGCAGCTTTGATGTGACTACACCTCATGACATACACACAACTTTATCCAGTAATACACATCTCTGCAAGACTGAAAATTGTCACAAATACACACCAACACACTTTTAGTGAAGTTGGATTATACATAACTGTTTTGACTGATGTGCCACATCAATGTTAAAATGAAGAATATAGAGTGTTGTGCTGCATTTCTCTTTGACCTCAGTAATTCCTGCCTTACTTCACTTCCTTTTAGTTGTGCTTTTTTCATTATTTTCTCCTTTCATATCAACCTTCGTCTTTCTATGGCTGAATTTGAAAGTGGAGGATTGGCATCCACTAGAGTTCTCTTTCACAATTATGTAGAAACGGCACAAACATTCTTTTCTCTCCTTTTTATTTTTTTTTTTAAAACCTCACCTCACATCCCTCTTGAGTTATGTGTTAAACTCGTGTTTTTATACTCGACCAAGTTGGACCTTGAGGGTTCATGATTAGCAGGATACTTTGTTATTTAGCTGACAAAAAAAAAGGTCCACAAGGGTCACATTCTTTAGATGGATGCCAGATTTCAGTGATGGAACAGTTATATGTTTACAACACATTTGTAACAATTATTCATTGTTAATTCTAGTAAATAGACAAATGAAATTGTAATTGTAAATATTATCTGATATTTTTTACTAAATTGGGATGGAATAATCCAAACAAACTCCCTGACAGCAATAGTATGAACCAGTTTTAAAGTATTAGTCGTGTATATATCCCAAATAACAAAAATGTGAACTTATATTTCTACTCTTGTGCTGTTCATGTTTTTGTATGTGTGTGTATGTGTGTGCGTCTTGCAGCCACACAACCTGCAGTATAAGTAGTCTGCAGGTGAAATGGTTTCTTTTAAGCTCTTGAACTGTATGTACTTTATAGCTTCACAAAAGCATTTAACTTTCCTAACCTTGCTCTGCATGAAAAAGGTGGGACTCTTAGACATGCGTACACACACAGTTTCTTTTTTCTTTTGCACTCCAGTGGTTTGCTATCACCAAACTCCATTTTACTCCCTCTTCTCTGTCTTCCTCCCTTCCCTCCCACACAGAACTGAAACACTGGTGTACTCTTCTCATGAAGCTGCCAGCCTACTCAACATTTATTTTAGGTCTTTGTCTTTTATTCTCTGGAACAGGGAGCCATGCTCTGTGCGTTTGTGCATGCCCCGCTGCGTGTGTTTTATAGCACAGAAAAGTGGCTATTAAAGTCCGTCCAAACAGTGATCAATGGCCGGTCTGAGCCGTATGGATCAAGGGAGACTGCAGGCATTTGTCAGAGTAGGGCTAGTACAAGAACCGGTGTTTACACTGCAACACTTCCCGCTCCACTTAGAATTAGCTGAAGTTTTGCCCCAAACAACGAGATAATCAGTTGTTAGTGGTATTACTATGAGCTTTGAACAAGGTCGATGAGACGGGCTGCTCTCTCTAAGCATGATTTTAAAAAAGTCAAGTCAGATGGATGGTGCGTCGATGTGAAAAAGTAGGACAGATGTAGAGGCTATGATAGTAGGGCGGAAAAGAGGCATGGGATCTGTTACACAGACAATAAAGTGATTTGCTATGGAACTACCAAAAGCAGGTTTTACACCAGAGCAAATTCAAACGAGGAATTCACCAGATCAGTTCACTTCAGGGAAAATGTTCATTTGTGCAGGACTAGAAGACAGACTGATAGTAAGTTACACAACGTGCGTGAGTGTGTGTATGTGTGTGTGTGTGTGTGTGTGTGAGAGTGAGTGTTCCATTCTGTCAACACTTGAGTAGGTGGCCGTGTTTTGCTGTAATTAGGCAACAACTTAAAAATAACTTTTGAGCATACTGAAATTCAAATGAAATCAGAGAAAACTGGCCTATGCAACTCCCTGTCTGCTGTCTACAGTGGGATGAATATGACTTATGTCCCTCCTTTTCAACTGGAGCCAAAGCGTTAAAGACAGGCCAGACAACATCACTGGAAATTTAGACCCGGATGAAAAGGATCACTGAGGTCAGAATGAGAGAAAAGAGACTCTATGAGCTTCTAACCAACAGTCGTGCTGTAAGTACCTTGTAGAAAAAAGTTCAACAATATAAGCCAGATATTTTCACCCCACAGCAGGAGGGCTCCTGGCTTGATCCTCAGCCGGGGCTTTTCTGTCTGTGACGCTGTTCAGATACGCACTTCCTCGCACATCTCTGATGATTCTTATCTCACATAACGGTTCAAGCACACTGGGAAATGCTCCGCTTATTAACTCAATACACCTCAGCTTAACGGAGAGGGAAATTCATTACTAATATCAACCTCCCTCTTGTCAGACTAACGAGCGGAGGGCTTACAAGCTCATTAAGGTGGGGGTCAATGTAAGACTAATTGTTCTGGATGATTGCTCCCGTGGCTGTGTGAACCCAAGGGTTGTCTTACTGCCTTTAGAGACCGGCCAGGATGTGAGAGCTCAAGCTACTCCCCAACCAAATACCATCTCTATATGAATGCAGCGTGTCTGCTTTAATGAAATGAGCCGTTTGCTTTGTGTGGCTAGTCAAAGGAACTAAAGTGTCCTTTTGGGAAGTGATTAAACATCATTGTGTGGATAAAATTCTGACCACATTCAACTCCAGCCTACTAGAATAGCTGGAGGGATAATGAAATGTGTCCTTCTGGTTCCTTTAATGAAGAACTTAAGCTTTGAGTAATGTTTCAGTAAAAATAGAAGAAAAGAAAAACAGAAATTTTAATTTGATGGCGATTCTGTTGTAAATTTGGTGTTTGTGGTCCTATCAAACACCTGAACCGTTTCCTACATGTCTCAACAGACTGGGCTTCGCTAGCGATGTTAATTCATCTGCTTAAAAAGATAATCTTACTTCAAATGTTGCATTTATATTTCTCCAATCTTTCAAGGCTGTCTGACTGAATAACTGCTCGACAATTTCTCCACTCTTTAATGTGTCTCAAATAGTTTCTGCGGTGAATCATTGGACAAAAGAATTGTATTTTTTGTACCGTTGCGAGGCCCTGAAACTTATCATGCACTCCTTGACTGTCGCAAGTCCGCTGAAGAAAAATGGTAAACCAAAAAATATTGATTGCATTCAGTCTATGAGCGTTTGATCAAACTGAAAGCTGCAGCCCTTCTAAATGTATGAAAAGCTGGACCAAAAATGATGAGGCTATGAGCACACAGGTGAGCGGAGATGGAAGAGGCTGAATTGCTTTGTTGCATCATGTTTAGTGGTTGTGTTGAAGGTGGTAGTTCATCACCACTGGCACAGTTTCGCTTCATGTATAAATTACAGCCACTGGCAGGTCGGCACCGTAATAGTGCAGCCCATGGAATTACGCATTAAAAATAGCAGTCCTGAATTCAGAGAGTGTGTGTATGTGCATGAGCGGGTGCCCTCAGGGTCAGGGTAATCTCAGTGGATTGTTAATCCAGCTTGTTCCCTCTCTCCCCAGCTTCATTAATCTGCCACCAGTCTTTGTCTCATTTTCCCTGGACACACACAAACGCACAATCGCACAGTCACTTGAAGACAGATACACATGAAAATGTATTTTAAAATGTAATCCTTCATTTTTAACTTCCTACTGTAGTAGACGTGTGTTGTTCCAAATAGAGCTTCAGGATTGCTGTTATTCATGGACACTACGCGTTTTACATCGTGCCGAAAGGCTATAAGGACTGTCACCAGCATCAAGTTGCATCAGTGCTCCTTTGAAAGCATAATTTACACCTCTGTTTTGGGAGCACTGATGCAGGGAAATACGATGAAACTGTAGAAAACACGTCATTTTCAGAAGTGCGTCTTTTCTTTTGAGAGGCTTCCATTTTTCATCAAGACAATAGCAAACCTCGTCATGTTCACGTTACAAAGGCGTGTCTGAGGAGGAGGAGCGGGTACTGGACTGTCCATCTGGCACTATTGACTTATACCAACACATTCTAAAGCATTTAGACACAAAAAAACTTTGTCTGAAAGATGCATGACGTCCCTGGTCCCAAAATGTCTTATCAATTGTCAGAGCTGTCAAAAAGCTAAATTACAAAATGTTAATAACCACACTGTCCGTGTGGAATGTGTTGCAGGCTTAAAATACTACAAGGAGATACACTGACAAATTAAATTGATTTGATAGGACATCAAATTAAACATCTCTGGTTCAGAATGTATGTGATGAATCAAAGTCAATGAAGGAGTCACATCCTTGTTTGCGTGCGTGTGTGAGATGTTTGTGACATAAATGTCTGTTTGTTGGCCAAGTTACAGGTCCCCACTATAAAACTACCAACATGAAAAGAGCAAAGATCCATCGCGTTTTCTGCAACCCAATCCCTCTGCATAACTTTAACTTTTCTTATCACCCCCTCCTCCTCCACCTACTCCTCCTCCTCTTCTTCACCTCCCGCCCACTGCTTTAACCGCTGTTGTGCTTTTTTTGGTATCTCTCTACTTCAGTGATTCTCCGAATCTTTGTTAGTTTCAGAGCCTCTTATGATGGACCTCCTTCTATGGGCATCACTCTCCCTAAATTTTTTATGTTACCTTATTTCCCTTTTTCTGTTTTTTTTGTCCCTTAGTCATAACCCCTCTGCTTTGGTATTTTACTTAAACACTCATCGGAAAATCCAGGTTTATTCTAGCCAGACTGCGCATATACATTATACTTGTTTATTGTGTTTATACATCTTTTAATATTAAAAGACTGAAAAGACTGTTGGAGCTTGATTTGTAGCATTTGCTTTGGGTGTATGTGCGTTTGAGAGTCTCTTGGCAAAACCACAGAAATGGGTTTAAAGCATGTTAATGGCTTGTTCTACTTTAGATGCAAATACATTTTGGCAGGCTTTTATTCTAGACACAGCGAGTCTAACCACTCACACCAATAGTGCAATACACACACACGCACACACGCACACACACAGTTTTGGATTGCAAGGGTATTGACTGTTTACATAATCGTCATACTTTTTTGCTTAAAAAACAAACAAATATTTGGGGAAAATGCACAAATCCTTTAGTTTTATCACACATATTGGGCCATACTTATCTTAACAATATTTTTTTGAAAAGTAAGTAAACTTCCCTGATTAAAAATTCTTAGAGAAGTAATTAGTGATTTTTTGTTTATGATTCGGAAAATCTTTCCTAAATGTTGGAAATGTTTTGAGGTGTTTCATGTCATAAGATGATTCAATCAATCATTGAGAATGAAAAGCATGCCTCCTTAAACGGTGTCATGTTTTGTCCTTTGCGAGTTCAGGCAATGTATTACATTGAGTGAGAAAAGCTACACCATTGCAGGGAAATACAATGAAACTGTAGAAAACACGTCATTTTCAGAAGTTACACCATTTTTGCAGAATGTCCAATGAAAAGAATCCCTAAACCATAGTTGTTGCAAATACCATGGTGGCCGGTGGTTGAGGCAGACTGTGAAGCATAAAGTTGACAGCTCAGGTCATGGTCTCATGATAAAAGGCCCCAAAAATGGAGTCATGCAAAATGTAAAAATCATTGAACAACATAACAGATTATGACTACAGTTCATTGCTTTTGTCGGTAAAGATCAAACATTGTGCTGGGATGTCTCTGGTCTCAGAGTTAGACCATTTTTTTCAGTTTTTCTGAAATTCGGAATCCACTGAGAAAGGAACCCATCTATCAATGATGATTCTTAGATGTTGCAGCATGTGGTGCAGCTGCATATAATACATCAATATTTGTATCGTGTATTGAAGTAAATACAGAGCATACCACTGACTAATTCATCGTTTAAATCATGACTCATCTCGACTTTCTCTGATGTTACCACAGACTCATTGTTTAGGATGTGGCCCATGCCCTCAAAGCTCAGAGGACATAGTAAGGAGAGCCTGCCAATCACATTGACATAAGTGCTCATATCAAAGACATAGTTCAAATTTGCCACTTTTTACTATCGTCTCTCTTGTTTGAATATGTAAAATAAGCGTGGAAATGTTTGAAGCTAAAGGAACAGGTAAATGTTTTGTGATTGGTCTCATAATCTATCAGTCAGCATTAATGTGACAGAGTCATGACAGGAAGTAGTGCTACAAAACTTTGGACCCATTTACCAGGAGAAAAAAAACTCATTGTAGTGAAGAAGCAGGAACACAACGCTTCACGTCGTTCTACTTTTTGGCCGGTTGGTGCTGCTGTTGTAATAATGTCATGCCGGTATAAAAGAAATATGCATGAACTAAATTTTTTACAGACCGATTTATTTTAAGTCCAAATTCAGTGTTTCTTGGGGTTATGGCTTTTTATTTTGATCAATTCGATATTACATCCTTACCGTGTCATTCAGATAATCAAATTCAAAATCTAATATCAATGTAAAGTGGATTCTTTTTTATCTTAAAGGCTGAGGCTATTAATCGCCAGGCAGGATGAGCTGGAAATAAAATGATAGAAGCAGGTCTGGTATGGTTTGAACAAAAGCCCCATCCTTGTGCTGATCAACATGTCCTTCACTTCATTCTGCTTTAATTATTCCTTCAAAATCAGTTTTAAGAAAACATTCAGCCTCCACAAACTGAAAAACCTTCTTCATCCTTTTTTCGTCTCTTACACGAGCACTTATTCTCACCCATTACTCTGCATCAGAACAGTGTGTAAAGTCTTACCCGTCATTGTTCACTCTTTGTGCTGAGTCCGCTCGCCTCGCTCGTACTTTGTTCCTCTGGTGAATCACACACTGGAGTGTGCTCTTTCCTCTCTTTGGCCGTGTGTCTCAGGTGATGTTTGACTTTCGTGGCAACGGCAAGGCAGAGTTGAACCTGAAGAGGGGAGAAGTGATCTTCCTGCTACGCAGAGTCAACGCCGACTGGCTGGAGGTGAGAAAAACTGAGAGAGGCGGATAGCAGGAGAGGGATGCGGGAGGGAAAGAGAGGAGGATGAGGAAGAGAAGGCAATGAAGAGTAAGCGATGGGTGAAACTGAGAAGATGTTGGGGAGGGGGAGTGTAATAGAAAAAACTAAGGAGAAATTAGAGAGAGAAAGAGGCATCTTTATTAAGACTGTGGATTAGAGGAGTGAGAACTATTAAAGGAAGAGGAATAAGTAATGCATCATCTGTACATAATGGGGACGAGAGGCAAACAAGGAGTTAGTGAACTATCTTTAAATTATCTTTGTCATTAACAATCACGTAACTACTGAAATGATAAATAAAAAAGAAGTGGCCACACAACAGGATGGCCCACACACATTTGCAAAGCGCGTAACACCATTTTATTTAATCATGACTACTATTAGTCTGTTAGTATTTTCACAATTTCTGCAAATCTCAAATTATCTGAACATTTCAGCTGTTTACAGTTCTAAAGGAACTTCTAATGCATTTCAAAGTGAATGCCTTGCTTTGCTTTACACTGACCTAAACATGGGCTGCAAAACAAATTACTCCAAAGAGAGCCAGGACATGTGTTTATTAAAAACTAAAAAATCTGTTAATTTAAAGAGCGATGGAGAATCTGGAGTAAATGAGTGGGAGAGAGCGAAAGAAAGTGGAGGCTGGCTGATGTGGTGAGAGAAGACTATGAGACTCCACATGGTGGAGGAGGAATAACTCAACCCTCCCTCTTTCCTTCCAGAAAACATAGCTTTTAATTGGAAATATTCTCAATTAAGCCTCATGCAACGCTGACAGTTTTACATGCATGCAAATAGGAAGTGTTTATTTTGCCGTGTCTAAATTTTCCACATGCAAAAGTAGTTACACAACTGCAAGTGAGATCCGATTTTTCAAACATTTATCTACCCATATCCTCATTATGACTGAGTGTGAGTGTAGAGATCAAGATAAATTACTACTGCATCACTAAGTACATCACTTATTTAGGGCAGACAATATTTTGTCAACTGGCAGACCTTCCAGGCCGTATCCTTGACTACTGGGATAGGCTCCAGTCCCCCTGCGACCCCATTTTGGAATAAGCGACTCTGAAAAAATGGATGGATGGATGGAAAATCTTGTCATAACTATATTTAAAATGATTATTTCAACCTGATCAAGTAAAAGCATTTTCATTTAATCGTTTCCTTGTTATAGTGTACACGTGTGGTACTTGGGTTCTGTATCGGATGATTTCTGCATGTCTTTTTGTAGACGAACACAGTCTGACACCAGGGGTGTCGTAAAAAAAAATAAAAAAGCCTGCATGATTATGCTGAGTGCCTCCAACATCAGCATCATATTATGAACAGGCTAATTATTCCATTAAACTTCTCTCCGGAGGATACTTTGTGCCGCTTTTTAGTGGTCCTTCCCTTTGAAGTATTTCATCATCTTGCTCCCGATCACTCCATCTTCTGAGATTTGAGTTGTTCTCTCCCCATTTGTGCCTCTTTATCTTTTGTCTCTCTTCCTGTCGTCTTTTCTTCAGGGCACAGTGAACAATCAGACCGGCATTTTCCCAGAGTCCTTTGTGAAGATTATTAAACCCCTCCCAGAAAGTGAGGTAGAAGGTGATGGTGGGCGCTACACGTACAGCTGCCTCCGCTGCTTCCTGCTCACCCCCTCTGGAGTCGACACCAGGTCTGTCGGCCATAACTATTTAACAGGATGTCTTCTGTTATGAGATTACTGTGTGTGGCATGACATTTGTTGCATTTGAGAGAAAAGGGAATGCAATCTTCCATTCAGCAGATAAGCTTCATCTGCTTCAGCTTTGAGAAGTCAAACTCAATGCTTTGCACTGAGAGCGTGTATTCATAATCACCTTCTGTGTTCAATCTCACAGAGATGTGTGTGTACAAGAGGACCTCACCATCCAGCCATCGTACATGGAGTTACTGGCCCGAATGAGGTAAACCATGTCTGCTTTGCAACCCCCATTTCTTTCAAAGTTGGGACATTTTTATAGCGTAGTAAAAACCTCATTTTCGATTAGAACCGTATAATTTTTTTATCCTCAAACACAGCTGAAAATGGATGTAAATCAATGATGAACTTGAGTAAAATATGAATATATAGCGTCCTACTCACACAACACAGTTTTTCAGTCGTTTTTCTGGAAGTGTAGGGGAACTGTTTTACCCTGAGAGTGCTTTTCCGTGGTACTCCCGACCCAGGCCCATACTGATAAGGCTAGCATGATGGTTTTTCACCTGACTGAAACGCCACATGTATCCAACAGTGGTTTCCATTCTTGATCCCTGGATCTTTTCATTAGTCGGTCTGACTCTTCCAAACAGAATGGTTAGTTATCAAAGACAAAGCCTTTTGTGGATGCTTGTTTCATACCTAATCATGACACTATCGGCTATCAACAACTATCTGTTGATTGTAGAAATGTCCAGAACTCTTTAACGAGTTTTTATTTTCTAAAATATGCTTCAAATTACATTGAAGACTTTAAAAGTCTTACAATTTAGTCATTAAATAAAAAAAGGTAAATTACAAACTCCCAAATTGTAGATTTTACTTTCTGAGAATGAGTTTTGTAGCTGAACATAGGGGGAATAAGTGAATTTTGTGCGGTGAAAGAATAGATAACTGCTCTTGATTCAGTGGTTTGAGTGCATTCACACCTTTGTGAAAATACATCAAAGCAGGTGTTGAAAGTAGATGGTTATTTAGCTTTGGGGAAAAAATAATTATGCACAGCTGCTATTAATTTACCTTATGCAGAAATACACTCTCCTCTATATGAGCTGTAAAGGTTTTTTGCGTTAAAGTTTTTTACTTCTATGTATGTTCACCTTTTTACGTCCTCAGTCTTTTATATATACTGTTGCATTACAATTTGACAACAAACAACGATAAGGTAAAATACTGTTTATTGAGCAACTCACCTTGAGGGCCAGCAGATTTAGTTGTTGTGAGCTGCAGTCTTGCAAATTGCAAATTTCTGTCATCACCACTAATCAAATTAGTTCCTCTGGGACCTTGTACTCTGTTCTCGCCCTACTCACCCACAGCATCATAGCCAGATGCGTGTGTAAGCCCATTACTGTGTCTGTTCTATGTCTTTTTCCGGTTTCATTCAGTGTCATCCTCTATGTCTCATTTATTTGCTCATTTAGGAAGGTGCTGTGATTCACCCCCTTTCACGACTAGTTCATTTCCACTTGTTATGCTCGATATTGTTTGTCTGTGTGCAGGTCTATTGTGCCCCGGAGTGGATGGATGAGACCCTGGTCTTGATTTTTAATATGGCATAGCACTGATAAATAGGAAAATGGGGAGATGAGGGTGGTGGTGAAAAGACATCAAGGCACCTGAATAGAGAAGAGATGATAAAACAGTATATAAAACAGGATAGATAACACTTAATGCTTGCCTGTCAGTGGTAAATTACCAATAATACTCAGAGTCAACAGCTTGCTTGAGTAAAAAATGTAATTAAATCTTTGATAGGAAAACAAATGAACTCCTACCCATGTTAAACGTGATCAGGGTGTGCCCCAGTGCTCAGAAAGGATTGTTAGAGAACCCGTTAATAGTTATGTACACTTCTTATTCTGCTGTCTTTATCTTGAGGATACCTGTGCGTGCATGTAAATAACGAGGAGCTTCCATTTTGTGTAAGAGTGAAATCCATTTACACATAAATGCAGAAAGTCGTTTAGCTTAGAAATAAGAGTGTGAGGGAACGTGTCTCTGGACTCACTCTAAAGTTGCTGTTTTCCTGTCCTTTCCTTCTCAGAGAGGTTTTCAAGGTGGATGATATTGCCCTGAACTACCGCGACCCTGAAGGGGACCTTATCCGTATACTCAGCAATGAGGATGTCCAGCTGATGATAAAGGAGGGTAGGGGTCAGCGGGGCAAAGTCAAGAGGCCCGTCAATCAGTTTCCATGGGAACTGCATGTGACCATGGCTTCTGACTTTTCCGTTTACGGCAGCGAAGCCTGAGAGAGGAAGCAGAGAGCCGGGAGAAAAAATCAACCTGATGAAATATGTATTATTGCTTTAGTTTTTTAAAATGTTATTGTTTGCATTTATTCCTGTCCTTTTCAATGAATGGATCATACATTTCACATACCATTAAAACGACTTGATATAATTTTGTTTCCATTTAGTTTTTCTGTATTTAAGTTTTGCTCTACTTTTACTTGTGTGACTCCAGTCTTGCAGATTTGGTTGTTTGGACGTGTAATCTTAGTTAAGGTGAAGACCACCTCAAACTACTGGACAGCTGACTCATTTCACTAGAATTCACTGCAACTCTAAAAAAATCAATGTACCTGAAGAAACTGTGGACTCATCCTTTAACACAAACATAAGAAATCATTAAGGATTAAAATGTTATTTTTTGAGAGCATACATTTGGGCTACTCTATTTCAAATCTCTCCATGCACTCATTCGTTAAACTTAATTGCAGAAATCTTGCCTTTTTAAAGCCTGTCCATTGAAATTATTTCCTGCTTCTCTGTTTTCCACAGGGAATTCCTACCTTGATATTATATAAGCATGCCAGCTAAGTAGAATTGTTAAGTTCATGACATAACGAAACAGAAACAAGTTAAATTCTATTCATATGTTTATCTTTCTTAGAGCTGTCTATCATATTTAGTCTGAAATTGGAATCTTTTCTGATGTCACTTAGATAAATGTGGGGCTTGGTGATGTGGCCCAACAAAGACACATGGCTCATAAACTCAATCCACTCTTTATTGCACTTTCTTGGCTCACAGAGCTCTTTGATGGCTCTCAGTTGCCTCCTTGCTTCTGCTGCAACAAAAGGAGTGCTCTGCTGTATCGTCTCAACTGGGTATGTTTTAGCATGTATTTAGTTGGGGCTCTCACGGCAGCACTTGTTAATGTTAAGGAGATTCTGAGGACATTACCAAGGGACGATATGAAGGATCAGTTGGTTTTGAAGCGTAAAATGGTGGACATTTTATGTCTCCGTGTTTCTGTCTCCAGGTTGCAGTCGATCTTTTTCAGGGCTTCCTCTGCACTTCATAACATCCAGATATGGCAGGCTCTACCTAGACCAGGTGACCTGTTCAACCTTTTCCCAGAATTCAATTATCTGCATTCTTCTATCGCGCATCGTTGGCCTGCTGTACATCTAATTAAGCTCGTAATGAGTGTCATCGGGGCCAAAGTCATGTCAGATCAGCTATGCGCTGTTGACTGGCAATGACACCGGGTGCACAGGAAAATTATGACTTAATGAGTTTTTCTTAACAAAGATTTAAACCCTTAAGCCACATTTTAACACTGGAAGATTACAGGAGCACTGCTCATGTTGTTGTGCAGCTGGGTTTATCTTCTTCTTTCCATTCTAATGGATTGTCCTTTGACATACATATTCTTTTTAAACATTGCAAACCAGTGATCCATAGTTATGTGGTTTATTGGAATGATATAGCATATTGATGTACAGTCTGTGCAGCTAACAAAGGTGTATGATAGAAATTTTATGTTTACTTTTGAAAAAAACAAAGCCCTCTAACCAAGCATATTCTATGTGTTATTACAGTGTGCTGCTTGTTCTTCTGAAAATCTTAGTGAATAAATCCCAATAATTTTACACAGAAAAAAAATGGCATTTTTTAAACCAGCGGGTGAAAAGACTTTCTTGCTGTTGTCAAAAGGACCACAGAAAATGTGAGGAGAGATGCAGGCACTTTCACGCGTCAGAGTGGATATTTTTCTGATGCAAGTCGCAGCAAAAAGTCAGCCGGAAACAGAAAGAAGGCAAGTCACCCAGGGAGACGACAGTGTTCAGTGACTTTGCTCCTGGACCTAAAATTACCTACTCATGGAACTATCTGACAGACCATAGTTTGTGGGACCAAACTTGGGAGAGCCACAGCTCGAACTGCTGGATGCTCTCTTGTGCTTAATATAGTCACTCAGCACTCAGCAGGTTAATTGGGTCACATCCTCATTGACACATGGGCTCAGTTGACTCCATACGTGGCCATATTTTACAGTCACAATCTGTTCAGGGACAGATTCAAGTCTTGCGGAATCCAGAGGGTCTGAAGCTGACCGGGGGGAATAACAGAGGGAGGTCAAACAGACTGGCAAGACATAGAAGTTACAAATAGTCCGGCTCTCTCTGCAGGGTTGGGAATCTGAATCTGAACTGTCCTCTTCTGTTGTTTATTTAAAAGTGTTTTTTCTTCAAAAATCTCTCAAAGGTCTATTTTGCTTTGGCTGTTATGACCACGACCGTATGCAAATCCTTTGAATATGGCGGTTGGTTGCATCTGTATAATCCCCATGCCAAATCTCATAGCAGTCCATTTGTTCATCAGTTGTCAAACATCAGCTGAACATGCAGTAGTTAAACAACCTTTTACTGCTTTTGCTTTTTGCTGTTTTCTGCTATAGTTGTTTCTGATATTGCTTTTTTCAATATCTCATTATTCTGCATCCAGAAATAGCTTTTGGAACAGCTTTGGCGTGATGAGCATCCCTTGAAGTCTTAATATAAGGTAAACCCTGCCACTGGGAGAAGGGTTGCTTTGCAAAATTGTATTTTGAACCTCTTTACGGAAGGCAGGCTCAACATTTCTTCCTCAGGTACCTTTGCAAACTTAAGTAGAATGCTGTGGAAATCGGTGTTGAACTTGGTTACAGTGTTATTGCTTGCTATTTCCATGCTTTGAGTATTGTGTTCAAGCAATTCTGCATCCACTTGAATTTAGATGGCAACATTTCTGGAAGCAGCTTTTCTCTGAGCATAGAGTTGTTAACCATAGTACGAATGCTCACAGTAGTGAGTTCATCTGTAAGAAAGTATCTCATGCCATTTTAAAACTGGCCATAGTTTAAGAAAACTGCTGTTTTTCAAAATTTGCAATAACGTTATGTTATTACACAGTTTTAACAGTAAATATAGACATTCTCAAATATACCGATATGTATGACTTATTTAGCCAACTTAGTTTAAACATGCCAAATACATTCAAACATTAATTATTTTGCAAGTACTTAACCAGAGGGATTTTTAGAAGCCTTCCAGCCTAATTTTAGGCACAATAACCCACAATATTTATCATTGCACGAGAACAGGGTCTTAAACACATCATTTTATGACACCATTTACTGTTTCACGTCACACATCAATGATTCAAGTTTAACAGATTGCAACAAAAAAAAAATGATTCTGTTGTATGAGAGTTTAATGAGAGTTTAAACCTGCTTGATCATCATCCCAAATTCCAAATGTACTCACACTCAGACACAGAAATTCACTGACTTTGATAGACTGACATAGATGTACTGTAGGATAATTCTTACCTGCCAAACCCCAACCTCAGAGCATGTCATGTAGATTTATTAATTACCTTAATAAATCTATTCTTTACTCATAAGGATGTATAGTTCCCATAGAATCACTTAGAGCATGTGAACATGCCTGATACTCATCCTCAAACAAAAATATCTTGTACAAACATATATGGGCTGGTGAGAGATGGATCTGCCCGTTCACATCTATTAATGAATCCACTCCATCTCAGTCTGACTCTTCTCCAGATGGCAGACATTCACCTCCCTTCTATTTCTTTCTTATTCATGTGGTGATTTGTCATAGAGATAAAAAAGCACACACACATGCTTTATACCAACAGCACTGTACAATATTGTTACACGCAAAGGTCAACGACATTTTATTTTTAATTCTTCTTATATTTTTATTTAGTCATATACAAATGCTAACTTCAGTGAATCATGAGAGGATGTTTTTGTTGCATGACACAGGGGGGCACTCTTTACTTGTTTAAGAAATATTTTTACACAAGGTTATGAATAAAGATTATATAAACATGAAAAAGGTATACTTTAAACCGATTTAATAGAAATCATTTGAAAGAATTAGAACATTTAGGATACTTGTAATATTAGAAGTGAGAAATTGTGAGTGCTAATCTGTGTTTGAGTATTTGCATGCCCTCCTATCACCTTTTTCCCTGCTTGAATTTACCGTGTTTGCCACTGAGAGGTGCTCCTGACCTGCTGCAGACGTCAGATGTTTGTGGCCATGACTGTGCCGCAGAGTCAGTGTGCATCTTCATGAGCGTAATCGTTGACATGAGGGTTCTGCAGCTTTCTGCAGGTGAGCATTGAAGCACAAATGCCCCTAAATGTTCATTTACATTTCCATGGATAGATTTTAAATGCTTAATTTCCCAAGACCACACTTGTGTCTGTAATGAGAAGAAACTCAAGATTCTTTATTTCATACCTTCGTTATCCCGAAGAGCCTTTGTACAGAAAGCTGGAATAAAAAAGGGAGAAGGTTACGCATCGCAGTCAGGACAGAAACTTGGCCTGAGAAATCTGCGCCATACTGCAGTAAAATTTTGTATCAGATAAGAGATGGGAAGAGGAGGGGTGGGGGTTGGGTGGGGATGGGGTGGGGGTGGGGGCTTCTATGGAGAAATTGACTGATTCTGCCATCTCCATTTAATCCTGCAGAGTTTAAGGGGATTGGTAGAGAGTGGAGGATAAAGAGAGGGCAAAGAAAATGAATGCAGATGGACCAGTGAAAATGCTCAAACGGGGTGACTGGAATCACACAGATGGTCAATTCATGGTCAACACACAGAAGGTCAATTATGAAGCCGAGGAGGAGGCAGAGACTGCTCGGAGTCTGTTGTCAAGAACTTGGCCTGAGATGCTGGTGTGAGGATAGTTTGCCTGTGTGTGTGTGTGTTACTGTCATGCGGGGCGTTTTGATTTCTGTGTGAAAATTAAATAGGTGTTGTCTCCTTCAGATGCAAAAAGGAGCAAAGACAGATCAGCAGGAGGGTCTGGAAGTCCGTCAGAGGATGAGAAAGGTAAGGAGGGAGGCCATAGTGAAAGGGCAGCCACGGGATGCACAGCAACAAATCTGCTGTCTGGATTAGACTATACCAGGAAAACGTTTGGTTTTGTGAAAGCTTTTTAG